ATTGCGTGCCCTGTACGGCTGCTATTGAATCGCGGATCAAGCGGATCGAATATAACAGTTCGACTGACGAGAAATTGCGATAGAGTTGTCATCGCGCAGTTTGCCCTTCTTCTTCCGAACAAGTTCCCTACGATAAAAGTATATTAGTCCACTAAAGAAGGGTCCAATGAAGGCTCTGCGGGGAAGGGTGTCCAACGTAATTGTGAGTATACTCTCTCACTGTTGCTTGGCTAATGCATTCAAGAAAGGCGCTGATAATGCACTTCGCCAAATTTCAGATATAGCAACTGTAGCCACCGGCAATGCATTGTGAACAACCAAGCAAGGTACCATTGCTGCGAAGATGCAGAAGTAATACAGATGTTCAATCTAGTTTCCCAGCATGATCTTGGGAGCGCAAATGGTGCCTGGCGCCACTCCGGGGCTCCGGCCCGGAGCGGAGCATAGAGCAGCCTCCGTTCACTGCATCTCCGGTTGAAACAATCTGACTTGGCGAGCCTGTCTGCCTGTCACATATTTAGGCCATATTAATTGGGTGTGCTGTTTGCCTATTGGGGCTCATCAGTGGATCGAATCCCTCCGCTTTTCCCGGATGGTCCCCTTCCCCTGTGGGCCGTCGACGGGATGGCAGTGCTGCTCTGCACTGCTCCGTCCCACCTATTGCAGGGCTAACAGGACCGGAAGACTCACTAGCAACCACTAACCCGCCATGGCTGCAGTCTCAAATCCACTATTGGTTAAGCCAGAACTTGGGGTTCGTCAGCCTAGTGTCCCGCAGCTACAACCACAAGCCCCCCTCACGAATTGCACATGTCTCGGGTTCTCTTCAAAACCCTTCTTCCATTTCCTGACTTGAAGCACTGCAATATTGTATCGCGCAGCCATGTCGCGAAGGCCTACCACATCAGAACCGACGAAGCGGAGAAGAGCAGACGGCACAAGGTCGCGAAATGGGTGTCGCACCTGTCGGTAAGTCACTACTATTCAGTCCTCACTCGACTGCCGCGGCCGCTAATTCCTTTATCGCATGCAACAGCGCCCGCCGCATTAAGTGCGACGAAACTCCAAACCAATGTAAAAATTGCACATCAACCGGGCGCTCCTGCACCTACGACATCCACCGACTACCCCGCGCAGCAAATAACACTCACCGTCATCCCCAAAACCTACTCACTCAGGTAACGGATGGCTTTCGCTGGGCGATAACATCCGACGAGCGGCGCTGCTTCTCGCACTTTCAACACTTCACAATCCCAGGATTACTGGAACTATTCGACTCCGAACTATGGAAAAAACTCGTTCTTCAGATCAGTTACTCCGAGCCAGCGGTCTACCACGCTGCGGTAGCCTTGAGTGCCGTACACCAGGACGTCGAGGTATCGGGGATGCCATTGCCAGGCCAGACTCGACAGAATATCTGGCAGAAGTTTGCACTCGAACAGTCTGCACGCTCGTTCGGGATTCTGAGTCGACGGCATTCGAGTGATCCACGCCTACGAGAAGTCATGCTGCTCTGTTGTCTTCTGTACTCGCTCCTAGAGCTCCTACAAGGTCAATACGAGCGAGCATGCCACCACCTCCAAGGCGGCCTACGCATCCTCCGAGAGCTCAAAGTCCAGGAGCCTCTAGCAGACGAGACCGAATCACCGGTGGAGAAATGCTTGGTAGCAGCATTCGTACAGCTCGATATCCAGTCGACATATTACGGCGTCGACGGGCCAGTTCTATGCGTAGACAACGAACTAGGCAAATACCAATGGCAACTGAAGGAATCCGACTCCTTCACAAGCCTGATGGAGGCCCGTCAAGCCATCGAGCCCCTAGTCAGTGGCGTATTTCGATTCACATCCCAATCCTGGCCATTATCACCCGCCGACGTAGCAAGAGATTACAACTCCCTGCTTCCGCGTCAATACCAACTCCTCTCTCAACTAACCCACTACGCCGAACTATTCACTCCATTCTACACCCACGCATACCCCACCCTCACGCGAAAAGAGCAACGCGGCTCCGACATCATCTACATCCTCCACCGGACCCTCACATTATCCGTAAAAACCTGCCTCCTAGCCAAGAACCCCGCCGTGCTCGATCTATACACACCAGAGTACCAAGAATCATTATACCTCGTCGAGGCACTATTACAGCGCTACCCGGAACGACCAGCATTCACACTCGACGTAGGCATCCTACCCAGCCTGTACCTAATCTCATTCGGATGCTACGATATCCGGGTACGACTACGCGCCATCGAAGTGCTGCAGCAATGGCCGCACCGCGAAGGACTGTTCGAGTCGAAGTGGGCGTCGTTCCTCTTATTGGAATTTGTGAAAGCGGATATCAAGAAAGATGCGGAGAATGTGCCAGCAGGAACGATGGATGAAAAGTCGGATGCTGGGTCAAGTTCCGCTGCGAGCTCGCCATCCGCTACGGTGGATCAGTATATGTCTACCGTGGGGCATATTGAGCGCATTCAGCAGCAGATTATGAGTGGTCAGGATTTTGTCTTGCAGGATGCCCTGCAGAGCGCGGATTATTTGACGTCGTGGTCGTGCGTTAAGGCGATTGCGCCGAAGAGGGGGCGTATGGCTTAACTGTACTTCATCTGTGTCGCATCATACTGTCTTCGTTGTAACTATACACATCAAGTAACGCTCCGATATCCAATGCAATTCCAGGAATATTCCAATCCTTCGAGAATCCCCTGACTATATATATACTAAATCAGAACTCTATCGTAGAGCATGACAAAATTTACTAGACCACTCAAGTAGCACAATGATCCATCTCCTCCCACCCCCTCCTCAACCGCGCATAACACTTCTGCATCGGCCACGAATGCAAATCACGCGTCTGATCAATAATCCCCACCAGCGCCTCGCGCTCCTCCAACTCAGTAAAATACTCCCCGTAGAGAGTAATAGCTATCACAGCAGTGACTAACGCCGGATGACAGTGGGCGTGGTGCACCGCAATACCGCATATTCTGAGCACGATGGATCGGACTTCTGCTTCTGCTTTGCGGTGTGCGGCTCGAGTGGAGTTTCTGAGACGTTAGTTAGTACTTTGATCTTGAATTTAGATAGGAATTGTGGATAGGGGGTTGTGAAACGTACGATAGGTATGGATTCTGGGCTGTCAGGATCATATTAGCTATTTCGAGGTGCTGCACTGCAGTCACTTGCTCGTCGGAGCTGTACCATATTGTAGGGAAGAGTTCGCCGCGGGATCGATCTGCTTTCTTTTCGAAGATTGGGGCGAGTTCGTGGCGGTAGTCGTGTTGGAGTTTGCGGTGGCGGAGCATGAGGCGATCTGAAGCAGGCAGATATGCTTAGCATGATAGTTGACTGATGAGGGAAGACTAAGTTTAGATGGATGGATAAAGGGACCACGAACTCCATTCCTCACGCGTACCGTCACCCCAGCGCCACTTCGTCACTTCACTAGCGAGCATTACCAACGTATTTGCAGCAGAGGCCTTTCTCCAGTCCTCAGGACTGAATCGCATCTTGGGTGCTCGTTGTCGTGTGAGAGCATAGTATACCTCCTGTCGGATAACGATCCAATACGCTGCCGTAGCGAGTGACTGTTCCAGTCGGTGGGATATCATAGCGTCGATGATCCTCTGGGTGATGGCTAAGAAGTTGACTCTGTCTTGCGTGGACATGTCGTTGTCCTCGATATCCTCTTCCATTTCTTCGTATTGGCGGAGAATAACCGTGGCTACCATTATATTCTCCTGTTCAGTGGGATCGGTTATTTCGGGGAACTTGAGGAGTTCGGGGATGCATTTCAGCGTGTATTCCACGGCTGTGCATTTCTCCAAGTTGGGGAGAAGCTGTCCGCGATAGCAAATTCCATTGGGTGTCGTGTATTGTGGGAGGCGAGATAGGTGGCGTGCTGAAACTGCGAATAGAGCGTTACGTATGATGGAGCAGTGTTGGGCTCGGCGAGGGACGACTAGTTGGAAGTGTCGACGGTCGTCGCAGTGGTCGAACTGAGGTGTTTTAGTTGAGTAGGTTTTGTAAGGCATTGGTTGGCTTACCCATGGTGATATTTCCTCGATGAAATGTCGTAGAAGACAGGCCTCTTGTACGGTGGTCTGCGTGGGCTCGGGAGTGGAGAGAGCGCTCCGTGTTTCAATTGCTGTTGATGATGGTTGCGTCCCATTGATCGTGGGATTTCTACTAGGATTGCTCACAGTATTCCACTCATGTGCAAGAAAAGTCCGTCTGTTGATGTTGGCCGTATCCCCAGATACGACGGGGTAAAAGTCGTTCCGGGACGGATCATAAGGTGAGCTTTGAATCTCAAAGTGACTGCCACGACGACTGCCATCATTGCGTGTCCAGACAAGATCACCTGTTTCTCCGGATGTTGGTGTTTCGCATTGCACTGTTGACTCTTGGTATGGTGATAGGCTCTGGGTCACATCTAGGGACTCTGGGAGTGCAGAGTCTCCGGAAAATAGCTTCCATTTCCTTGGCTGGCTGCTCATCCAAGATTGATCTTTCGAGAAGTTCCCATCAAGCTTGGCTGTTGACCCTTGACGAAAGACCGACTTGCGCTGCACTGGCCTGCAGACCAAGCCTTTTTCTTTACATCGTGTGCATGTCGGTTGCTGTTTATCACCTGTACTCAAGTTGAGCAGACATTGGGGTTGTTCAGGTTCGGATGCAGACCTACATCTCACATGTTTCTCTGGTCATTTAGCATTAGTATACATGAAATAGATGAGTAATGCTTTTAATTCCTACCGCGGCAGTTAGAGCAAGGCGTCCGTGCCAGTGTCGACTGCGAGGATGGTGGCATTGTTGGATGTGAAGCAATTGGCGGTAACGGCAATTCGACGGCGCGGCCTACTCTTTTGGGCCAAAAGCCGCCTTGAGGGGAAGTTCCCCACATCCCCGCATTCCTTGCATTCTCCCACTAGACGTAATTTCGTCAAGACAAGCGTTTCATTTCACTAACAATTCTATGAGCTTCAGAGCTTGACAAGATCAATGCAAATCGTTGCAGTTCAGTCGCTCGCCATTCTCGTTAAACCGGACTACCTCCCCAGATAGTAGAGCCCGTTGCAGAGCTTGTCCAATTTTCATCACCATGATTCCTCGCTCCAGCGGCAGCGGGACTTCGGTATCCTTGAGCACTGCATTTACAAACTCGTTGGCTTCCACGGCAAATGCATTCTCGAATCGCTCCCAGTATTCCGGCTGCACTTCGTGTCGCATACCCAGTTTATCGGCAAGGACAACGTTGTTCTGTCGCGGAATCACGTTGACCATCACCTTACCCTCAGTGCCGGTAATCTCGGTACAGACATCATGACCATGTGCCTGGGTCCGCGAGCAGTAGAAGTATGCAATCTTGCCGCCGAAGAACTCAACAACACCGACTGCATTGTCGACGTCTGCCAGGTCTTTCAGCTCTGGGTGATGCTGAAGCGTTCCAGCTGCCCAACAAGCTTTGGGCGTCGGGTTATCCAAGAACCAGAGCGACAAGTCAATGTCGTGAATAGCGCAATCGACAAAGATACCACCGTTGCGAGATGCGTATCGGACGAAGAAGCCCGTCTCATCCTTCAAGTCGCAGGTGTTTGACCGCACCAGGAATGGTGATCCAATGGCCTTTTTGTCGAAGATCTTCTGGCTCGCGTCCCGGTAGGAGGCATCGAATCTGCGCGAGAAACCAGCCATCACTTTGAGTGAAGGCTTGGCTCTTGCTGCGTCAACCACTGACTGGGCCTAGTGTCGTCAGCGTGGATTCATCAGAAATGGCAACAGTAGCATACCTCTGTCAAGTCCGTACTCAGTGGCTTTTCGCAAAGGACATGCAGGTCTTTGTTGATAGCAGCCAGGGATTGGCTTGCATGCACGTCGGTGCTGCTCGAGATCCAGACTGCCTGAAGTCCAGGATGAGCCAGCATGTTGTCGTAGTTGTCATAGACAGTGATGCCGAAGTCTTTATACTCCTGGTTGCTCATGGCCCATTCAATCTCGCTAGCATCGGTACTGCAGACTGCCACCACCTTTGCCCGTGGGACTCGGTAGAGCAATGTATGCACATGGCGCTTGCCCTGGATATACATTAGCACAGTAATGCCATACTCTGAGATGGGGATCGATGTGTACCATTCGGCCAAGGCCAACAACTGCAATCTGGATGGAACTCATGATAGCGTTTATTGTGATGATCGAGTACTTGAGAAGTCTTTTGCTCTAGTATGCTTTTCAGTGAAGTTCAAAGTGCATTCTGGGAATCATGAGCTCTATTTATGCCTTTCGGTGTTCAGTATACAGAAGCTGGTCCCCTTACAATTGCATGTACAGCCGCCGACACTTGCCTAATACGGTAAACGTCTGTTGGCGGCCTTGGCCGCAGCCTCGCCGGGACATACCGGAATAGGCAAAAGAGAGTAATATCATGCATTTTTCGAACCTCACAGGTTGGCCCATAATTGTAATAACGGGGATTGAAAGCCGATGTTGGATACTCGCAAATCGAACATTTGAGCTCGTTGAGTTCCTAGAACTGCTGTCGTAGAAGGAAATAATGCCCGTTGTCCTGAATGGGGAAGATCATGTGACCCACTCAGCGATAACCATCCGTTTGATGCTATCAATTTGTTATCCACCCATCCATCCCCGAACATGGCAACGATAGGAATCCATCTTGCAGTTCCATGCCACGACACAAGTCGCTAAGGCCTCCAAGTACCAGCTAATCTTAATATCAGTTCTACATATGCTTGTCGCCGGGGTATACTCCCCAACCGGCTTGCACGATGAAGAATGTTCGGAATGACTTTCTCCCAGCCGATCGGAAAATTGCAACCCGAGGTACGGAGATCGATCACAACTCATTGCAAACCCTGCTGACCCTCCAGACTGCCGTTTATGCACAAAAAGACGCATAAAATGTGATCGGACTATTCCACAGTGCCGTAAGTGCACTATTCGGGGGCTCGGTTGTCCTGGGTTCGACGCAGTTCAATTGAATTGGAACCATGCCATGGCACGTCGAGGGAACCAGTCTTTAACTCGCCCGGGACTCAGTCCGCAAGATCGAGAAACGGAAGGCTACATCATCAAGCATGGTACTTCTATCATCCATACATTTGTTGTGGAGGCTAGTCCGCCGATCCCTCACCCTCTAACAGATGATGGTCTCGGTCGCCGCCAGTCATCGACGGTCCTGGGTGAAAGACTGATCAATCATTTTAGCCGCCACGTTGTAAGCATATTTTCGTGGATCGACAGTCACAAAAATCCTTGGAGAAAGATCGTGCTGCCTCTGGCGCAAGGGTCTATAAGTGTCCGCCTGTCTATACTGAACCTCGCTGCTGCTCACTTAGCAGCCACATCTACTGGTACCATTGCATTACGTATGAAACAGGTCAATTTTAGCCTAAGAGATATTGCCTTACGCAGCCTAAACCAAGAGATCCAGCGCCAACTAGACTGCCATGCCGTGAGGCCCCCTGACCAGCTATGTCTGACTAGAATTCTCATTGCTGCGATTACACTTTGCCATGCGGAATTGGTGACTCGCGATTCGACAGATTGGACAACTCATCTACATGCCTGTCGTGCAATCGTAAGCAGGTATGGAGTGTGCGCTCGCAACGAGACTCTCGATCCTATGACACAATTTGCGATCAAAGAGATCAGGGACGTTGAGGTATTCAATAATGTCTTCTCCTTCTCAGGCAGCAGTAAAGTAGCGACTACAGCAATCGAGTTCCAGCCATGGACATTTACAGACCTGATTAATGACATTACTGCCATGGAAAGACATCATCATGGATATCTCACTGAAGGCCGACAGCCACCTGATGTCAACTTCAACATCTGGCAAGCAAAGCTAGAGCAGGCCTCCACACAAATGAGTCTGTCGGATATCACATGTCTCTTGTCTCAGGGGAAGACTACGCGAGAAGGCTTTGAAGCCCTCATAGACACACATTATTACGCGACGCTTATCTACCTTCATCAAGCTTTTGCATCTCCAACCGCAATGATGAAAACCGTCTCCTCTACCGTACCCATACTGCTCGATAGAATTCAAAAGGTTGTCTTGGCTTCCGGTGATGCATTCTCACAGGACCTCTTCTTTCCTCTGTTCATTGCTGGCACAGAGTGTTGGGGAGATGAGGATAAGCAACGAATAGTGGAACAGATTCTGCTAAAGCTACTCGTGACGACTGGGTTGTGGTGCAACCATAGGGCACTGGACTTTCTGCGTGCATTCTGGTCAAGCTCGAAGCATCATGGCACCGGGAAATGGATACAGTATGGTCGAGATTCCAAACAACAGCTGGGTCATCTTCTTGTGTTCTGAGATGAATGAGCTCGGAGAATGTCCTCCACATCTATCAATATCGAATAACATCTGCGGGTGGTTCCATGCAGCTCATATGTCGCGCCATCACATATCAACAGTTTCTTCATCCTCGACGCCAAACAGCACCCTCATCGGGTCCTGATAATGCATGAAGCCAACACCTGGCTCGCAGACCCCATACCCTAGAAGTCTCTGGGCTTGGGGCTTCATGCTCTTAACTCGTTCCAAAGGAACGACCAAGAACTGGTTCTCTGCCGGACGCAGCGTTGGCTTGCAGAGGAAGATTCCCACCGTTTCGCGGTAATCGCTTCTAAGCGCCAGAATGGTCACCAAGTGCAACACGTAAATGAAGAAAGGCGCAACCTACTCAGTGACATTCGCACCGCCAGCGTGATACAGATTCCCCAAGAATATAAACGCGTCACCGGGTTCCAGTTCCGCAGGAACAGCCTCCTCATTTAATGGTTGCCGCTCCGAGCCCCAGAGATGTGAGCCTGGAATGGCCACGGTCGCTCCATTCTCCTTGGTTGTCTTCGTCAACGCGGTCACACAACCAATCATCACAGGCAGTTGAGCATCATGTGGATGATAGTCACTGCTATCTTGTCAGCCTACTAGCCTGGCATAGACCCTGCGGACATACTTATCATCACGATGAAGCACCTGCTGCTTGCTTCCCGGCGTCACCCGGAACCCAGCGGTGCTTGAGATGATCGGCTTTCCAGACACCGTCACCTTATGATCGCCCCTCCAGAAGGAATAGCTGGATGAGACAAGTGCATTGGCAACGCTGATATAGATCGGATTGCATGCCAAGTCGACGCAGGCATCTGAGATGCCCAGCAAACCGGTAGCACGCTGGGTGGTTGGAGGGAACAAACCGTACTTGTCTGGTATATCTTTATCGAAGTGTGGCTTAAGATCTTGTTTGATCTGTTCGGCTGCATCACGAGTGATAAGGCTCTCTACAATCACGCCTCCGTCTCGACCGATGGCCTCGACGAGGGTATCGGCATCGGTAGCGGTAGCATTGAAGCGTGCGAAGGAAGCCTTCCTATCGTTGGAGGTAGTAGGAGCAATCATTGTGACCAAAAGATGGCAATTGAGATGATGGAATTCGATAGACACAACCAAGAGATGATGCTTCTGTTTCGAAAAACATAGTGGAAATACTCGACCTTATATAGTCTATTGAGCCAGACCCAGAAACTGTACCTACAATCCCTTGTTACTACTAGTATTACTATCTACCCCTCTCAAATGCAACGCAATACCCCTCGACAAACCATCCCATGAACCTTCTCCCCCCCGAACCTCATATAGAAAAGTAAAGCCCAACCCCAATCCGGCAATATACGTGAGAAAGCTTATCCCCGCAAAGGATTTTTTCATCCACCCACCCACCCACTCATAGAACTTGAACTGTGGGGTAAGAAGAGAGCCAATCATGCACCGACACCCATTCGACATTTGACTTAGTAAGGTGGAATTGAACATTGCATACGCAGTGCTTGCATTCTATTTGTTAAGAATTATGTATTACCTGAAATTACTACGAGCCGATAATCTCTGACTGGAAGAAAATCGAGTACAGGCTTACGTTAGTAGTTAGCTTGGGCTTCCGGAAGGGATACTTTACTAGTACTACCAGTTAAATATGTGTTGCAGATTTTCGAAGGGAGGTACTTCTACTTACCAGTAGTACTTATGCTCTAATGGCTGCTTTGCCAACTGTCGGTGGGTAACTATATTATAACGGGGTGTTTGTGCGTGCGCGTGTGTCTGGACTTTTGCGCTATACTAGTATAAGTTTGGCTGAGAAGAAACTGTTACTAGAATAGTAACTATTCAAGGCGTTCCGCGTTCCTAGGCAAGACTCACATAAGAGGAATGATGCAAGCAATGCAAGCACAGTTCCTCTTGGAACCTGCAATTTAATATAATCATGTGCTATTAAATCATACTCAGCCACACACGAGGTATTAAAATGCAATTAAGTATAACGTCCATGATATTGGCTACTTGCATGAATATGTCACGACTACTATGATCTGAACATGTCTGAGCAGAGATCGGACATTATTGACCTGACTAATTCAAATTAGATTTAATTGACATTCTTACACCTGATCGAGCCCGCTAATATACCCTGTCCAACAGGATATGTTGTGTAAGCGTCGTGGTGTGTGTGGTACCGCCAACCTGACCAAACCAAGTAAGCAATTGTGATCAGCGGCTCCGGCCGAAAGGAGCCGCTTTTGGGTGGGGAGGTGTACACATCGCTCCACGCATTGTGGCTATGAGCCCGCGGTGGGAGTAGGTCATAATGTCTACATAGTTGGGTGGTCGTTGGTGGGTAGTATGATAAATAGGACCATGGAGAAGTATTGGAGATATGATAACTTCAAGAAAGACTGCATTGAGATGTGGTATCATGGGATTTGTTAGAGCAAAAGCAACGATAATCCCCTTAGGAACGGTGGATTAGTCGTACAATCATAGTACTTATGTGTTGTCCCAAAACATTGTCGCGTTCATTAATGTGCCGGCATTTGATGAGCGATGTTTGCGCAAAAAAGCCAACGGGTTATTTTGTATACAGAAAACTTGAATCTTTGGGACCAGCCCGATCAAGCAAGGTTGTCAGACGACTCAGGTGTATCCCCAAATAACAACTCATGTCTGTCTCGCCAAAAGTCCGTTATCTCTTTCATATATCCCGTCTTTTGAAGAGGCAATTCCCATTCCGGGGTATGCGCCTCGGCTACCTTGAGGTAGGGGTCCATGATCTCGTCGAACCGATCTGGCGGTGCTCCAGGGAAATGAACCAGGAGATCTCCATGATGTACTTGGGAGTCCACGGGGCGATCGGGGTTGAGGTCCACAGCATCAGCGTTTCGCGGGTAGGCATTGAACCATCGCAAGGGGTAAAAAACGATAGAACGGCGGAAGTATTCGTGTTCAAGGATAACGTTATCCATGGCGGACTGGTCTGCAAATAATAGGCTAACCTCGGGATGTGATGTTGGGTAGGCAAGTGTAGCAGAAAGCAATTCGATGGCCCACTGATTGACGCGGATAAAGAAAACTCCGTTGTTCATGCCGTTCCAGTCGCTAGTCATAAGGAGATGAGTATCGTCGAATTGAGGAGGTGGGAGGAAGATGTCGAGGGGAATGTTGGGGTTCATAAGGATAGTGTCTCCATCAAACCAACTGTTTGTTGGGAACTTTGGTTAGTTTACGGTAGTGATAACCGAGTCTCCTCACATGCTGGATTGGCAAACTCACAACAACCATTTTGCTTGATCTTCTTCTGGCTTTTCCATTTCTTCGATGAGAGCTGATAGGAGAATGGCAGGTTTACTCCAGTATCCCCCCAGGATGGGTTTACGCAGCACGGTCATAGGATATCCGAATTTGAGTGAATGATCCTCATGGGTCTTCAAACCTCGATAATAAGAGGTTCTGTTACCATAGACCATAGTGACCTTGCGGATAACAGGTTGAGGCTCTGATGTTTGCGCCTCGTGGGGGCTTTCTGGGAAGGTTAGCCTTATACAAGTTACAACGGAACTTGGAATGAAGTAGACTCACGGAATTGGGTGAACATCTTCATTAGCCCAACAACGACCATGAAAGCCATCACCACATTAGTTAACGACCTGAGCCAGAATCGCTGGCTCCGGCCCATCGTGAAGTATGCACGGTGCATGGTGGGTTCTTTCATTCTGGTTCCATTCCTGATGGGCGAGATCGCAATAGAAGGGTGAAAGCATGGTGCGCAGTTTAGGGCGGAGAGGACACCCATATAACCAAACCAATTCACAGCCTACCCGAAACAAGTAGCAGGGTAGACACTACAACCCCAACGGATAGCATGGGTATTTGGGGTGCTGGCCATTGATTGATCGCTGGATGACGGCGCCGGTCCTGCAGCTAACCTCTGGCCATTGTCAAATGTGGTAAGAATCTGCAGGATGTTGGCTGCGCGCCGCTCGCCTCCATCTGTTGATTGACAGACAACAATGGGCTGCGGATGCCCTTTTGGGGTTAGAGATTGCTTAGGGAGGGGATCCGGCCTGCTCGGATAGCGACTAGGCCAAGCACTAATTAGCGGCTGAGCCGAACGATTCTGGCCGAACTGAGGGGTGCACGAATGGTAGAGGCCTATCAAGTCAGCTGGGAAGACCGTGCAGGGGTCCATTGACGTAGGGATCTTGTAACACCGAATGAGATTGTTCGACGTAGCGCGGAGGCAGTGTGATAGCACCGCTTGTTTTTAGTGCCATCCATTAATTAGACTAAGGGTCCCATTCTAATATAACGATTACCCCTCGTGCCTTTGCTAACCGAAATGCAACCGGAAGATCGCCGAGGGCGCCTGACCACAGGAGAGAAAAGCAAAAAGGGGGATATGTCAGCCTTACGATTCGCAGGATCATGCACATGCATGAAAGATTACAAACGTTGACACTGTTATGAAGAAACTGGATATAATCGCAGGATCATGTCGAGCTGATCGTCCGAGTGCGAAGGAAGAAGAGGAGCAAGTGACTTCCGCGCGCTAAGCTGGCAGCTCGGAATAGCTTCCCTCCCCGGAACTGTTCGGGGCCTAGTTGGTCCGTGGTCATAGGCCAGTGCTCTCCTTTCTCCTGTTAAGTCAAGGATTCGCTTGAGTTTAGCTTAGCTCCAAGACGGGCCGGAATCCACGCGGGATTCGGGTGGATTTATGATGCGTCTGTTTTTCGGAGGTACATGAACATGTTCAAATCTCAAATTGACAATAATGCTCAACGATGAACTTGTAGGTGTGAAAGTATCACATTGACTGAGATCACAATTGATTAAGTTGCTGGTCCAAGTTATTCCTCGACTAACTCCATGAGGCAGGTAGTTAACTGGTGAGTGTCCCTAAGCAAAGACTAATGCTGCACGTGCAAGGTACCGTTGACCCCGGGGCCAGTTGCCCTGGCCATTGAGCGCATAGACCACGGTGGACGGCCAAACAGATGGTGTATGGATGGTGTGATAACTATTACTGTGTAGGGTGTAGGTAGTATACTAAAGTTGGCGGCGTTTGTTAGTTTGTTAGGAGCGTAGGCTAGTTTCTGGATAGTTGCGACGGCCTAATACAGCCATTAGTGCGGTCCTGGACCCAACGTTCATTTCTCCGTGATAATGAACCATGACAGGGTTGTGTTTCATCTTAATTCTGGGCTGTGTGCGCTGATCAACCAGTGGAAAGATCTGGCCGGTCTATCTTGTTTTTCGAGATGATATTCTATAGTACGCTTCATGTGGTCGGGGAAAGTGGTCATTTCCGGCCCTTGCCACAGACTTGACTGAGAGCTGTATGTAGTCGCATAAACAATGGTATTCTTCCGTGAAAATAAATATATTCTGTAGGCTCTATTATCGTGCTACCCAGAAAATTTAGGTGATAAATATGTACAAAGATAGAAAAATACATGAATGTGAGGGATTTCTGTAGGAACTTCATTATATTTATCTCTCGCCCATCTCCACAGGTGATGAGGCCCACGCATCGCCAGGCATACCCCTATACCCTGGTAGCTCAGCGGGCTTAGCGTTCCTTGCAAATGGCGGATAGTATGCGTATGCAGCGACCGGCTGTTGACTGTTTATGGCGAGTCGTTTCCGCTGGTTAAAAAGGAATAAAGCCAGGATCAAAGCGATTATGCCCACTGCGCCCACCCCAACACCAATGCCAATTCCGGCTTTGGCACCAGTGCTCAGGGTATTCCCAGAAGTTGAAGTATTGTCCTCTGCTGTTGATGGAACCGAAGTTAAAGTGGATGAGGAGGTGGATGCGGTCGCCGTTGACGTAGACGTGGCTGTTGCTGTGGCCGTGACGGGATACTTTATCTCCCAGCCCACTATATCGATTGCCCCAACGGTCGAATCCGTTGTCAATGTCGTTGTCGCTATTGACCATGCTGTATGGTCACTTAATGGCGTTGATCCGTATGTCAAAGTCTGCCCGGAATAAACGCTTGACATGCACCTTCCAGTTACCTGCCCGACTGTTCCCTGCGATAGAAAGTAACCTCTGTGTACGATTAGTATGTTGTTTGTAGAAGGTGATGTAAACCCCTGTAGATAAAGTGCACTTACGATGGACAACACATCCATAGCGTGCTGTATTCATTCTTAATTGATGATGCGACCGTTGGCCACGATTCCGGGCCAGTGAACGGCCCAATCTCCATCTGTGTGTGATATTGACCTCCAACACCGAGCAGAGCTTGTTCCCACCAAGTCACCATCTGAGGTGGACAACATCGAGCATTGGTATCTATGTCAAGCATATATCCAGGGTCCCAGGCCATGAGACTAGGTCCGTCAAGGCGAAATTTGCTTTCGCATCCCGAGGAAGCCGTCCATACTGAGGTGAGTGGCATGTATGATGTGACGGTACCACTACTATCCGTCTCGGGAGGATAGTTGGACTCTGTCGTGTCCATGCTGACACTCATCCTGGCGATTTCTGGTGAGATTTCGTTCCGATACCCGGATCTTCGCGTGGGAAGGTTTGTCTCAATTCGTTTGACGACCTGCCCATGCAGACAGAGCGCGCTTGAATTTGATCGCACTGTTGTGAGGGGAGGAAGGTCACGGCAGCCGCAATATACCGATGGCAAGTTTCAGACCCCTTAAATTGTCGTAGAAGACCCAGTAGCAAATGTCGGGGCACCATCCTCATATAGGCAGTGCTTTAAGCGCCCACCACCTTGCCGGGAGCGTCTTGGATCCATATTTACACCAAATAAGCCTAACGATGCAGCTACCAGCTCGATCGACATTGCGAGGGGTACTCGATAATGAGTGCCAATCACTAAGCGCCATAGCCACAAAGAAGGCATGCACCACTATACCTTTTCAGCCGTTGGAGCTACGGGATGGTGACCTGTAGCAGTCACATTCAGCGGCGCCAGTTTAGCGTTGCTGCTAATAGATAGTAGCCTTACCCCCGCCGGCTACACTGATATAGCCAATGAGGGAGCTGTAAACATGTCCGAGCTGTTAGATATGCTAGAAGCGGGGATGGCGGGTGCTGCTCGCAAATTGGAGCCATCCTGTAGCCGCCAGCACGTCCATGTGTGCGCCGCATTTCCCCTGATCCGTGCATGGGTTCTGGGTAAGCTTTCTCTATTCAGGGAATGTTGTTAGACAACACACCTGGCATGGTTTCTGATCGGTTATCGAATCGCGACTTCCATACTTAATCACTGATTCCATGGCTTGTAGCGACACCGATAGTCGAGGGAATAAGCGCCGACCGTATGCACCAACACCGGACGCTGGCACGTGGCGCCATTTGTTACAATTCCCTTCCAACGCTCCAGCAATTCTCTTTGCAATATTGGCCTTCATTGTGGGATGGTGCTTTCACTTCCTGAGCCTAGATACGCTGCTAGGCCCGTCTCCTTCAGTCCACAACGACACTTACTGGGAAAGCCATAGAGAGGAGGTTCGAACGGCCTTCACTACTAGCTGGGATGCATACGCAAAGTATGCCTGGGGTGAGTGACGAATGGCATTGCATCAAACTTAAGTAATAGAAAATCCAACTTTCGAGCAGGACAAGACCGATTCCATCCATTGTCGAAACGAGGCTCTCAAATGAGCCCCAATGGCCTGGGATGGATAATCGTAGACAGCCTGGATACGCTGATGATTATGAACCTCACAACACGCCTATCAGATGCTCGACAATGGCTTGATAAGAATTTGACCTATGATCAAGACCAAGACGTGAACACATTCGAGACCACAATACGTATGCTCGGGGGCCTGCTGTCCGCTCATTACCTATCCACTCAGTTTCCAGATGCTTCCTCCGGGCGAGACTCCGTTTATCTGTCTAAAGCAGTCGACTTAGCAGATCGACTGCTCGCAGCATATGACTCGGGGTCGGGGATCCCTTATGCCAGCGTCAACCTAGCAAAACGAGAAGGGATCCGCTCGCATGCTGATGGCGGTGCTTCATCTACTGCTGAGGCAGCCACTGTGCAGTTGGAGATGAAGTACCTATCCCATCTAACAGGAGACAATGTGTATTGGCGCAAAGCTGAAAAGGTGATGGAGGCACTCGATAGCCACGGTGTGAAGGGTGGTCTTGTCCCCATATTTGTGCATCCGGATACTGGGAGGTTCCGACATAAAACTATCCGGCTCGGAAGTCGTGGCGATTCGTACTATGGTAAATCCGCATGACCATTCCACACGTTAAATACAGGCTCATATAAACACAGAATACTTGGTCAAGCAATACCTGCAGACTAACGAATCCATCTACGGGGAGATGTGGGAAGAGGCGCTGACCGGGATCCAGAAGCATCTTCTTACGTCCACCAAGCATTCCAACCTCCAATACATAGCAGAGCTTCCAAGCGGCATTGGTGGTCGTCTTTCCCCGAAGATGGACCATCTCGTTTGTTTTCTCCCAGGAACCATTGCAATTGGTGCTACGGAAGGGTTAACTGAAGCCGAGGCCCGCAGAACTGAACACTGGAATGCTCAAAAAGAGGAGCAGATGCGTCTCGCAAGGGAGCTAACGAAGACATGCTGGGCGCAATATGCAGTCACAGAGACGGGGCTAGCACCGGAAATTGTATGGTTCGAGACAGAAGATTCCGACCTTGAGCCATCTTCAAAATCAAATGCGCCTCGACCCTCAAGCAGAGACGACTTAAACTCCTGGATTAAGGATATCAACATCAGACTAATAGATGCCGATAACTTGCAACGTCCAGAGACTGTGGAAAGCCTCTTCTTAATGTACCGTGTTACGAAAGACCCGATATATCGACAATGGGGATGGGAGATATTCAAGGCATTCCAAAAGCACACGCGGGTAAAGGACGGGGAGGGTTATACATCACTCAGTGATGTCACGATAGTTCCTCCGAAGAGGCGTGATGATATGGAGAGCTTTTGGCTGGTATGTTGAGTGATAATATACGATATGCGCATCAGAAGCTGACACCTTCCAGGCGGAAACCTTGAAATACCTCTATCTCCCCTTCTCACCGAGTGATTTTCTCCCATTGACTGACGTGGTGTTCAACACCGAAGCTCATGTGTTTCCACGCCTACGTCAGGCAGAGTACAAGACTGGTTGGGCTAGAAGACGGAGGACGTGAGACTTGTAGCTTCCAATGGCATTGAGAGAGTGATTCCCATCAAGAGGGGGGTGCGAGCATGCGCGTCTGAGCTTCAATCTAGGTATAAGTATAGGAGAACAGAACCATCGGAATATATATCCACTTGTCACGTTTATGCTATGGCAGCAATCGGTGTAGAAGTAACAATCAACCTTTTTCCGTCCGCGTTCAAATTTCTGCCGATGTATCGGGAGACTAGACCAACGCCGCCCACAACCCGAAGTAACAAGCTCAATACAGAATAAGACCATACCGTATTGCCGAGCTCAACTCGAACGGCATCTTCAGCATATGCAACAAACACCGTTCCAATACCTCGATTTCGCTAGATGACTTAAGCATGTAGCGCTTCGCATACATGGCAAGAAAAGTGCGAAGATTGTTGGTATCTCCCGACGGGACCATCATATAGCCGGCAACCTCATGCGATAGATTCAGTGCATCTCCGGGGAGGTATACGTCGCTCATGCGCGATATGGCCCGTCCAAATCGGGGAACGAATAGATGAAGCATCGATTTCAGATACTCATAGTCCTGGAAGGAGGCTTGCTCCATACCGGTTCGGCCGAGGATTAATAGGGTGCTGAAGCGGGACATTAGAGAGGAGAAACCATGGTAATATTTGACAGCAAGCAGAATTTAGATAGAGGAGAGAAAGAATTAGGTACACATACACATAAGATACATTCTCGCTGCTTGGGATGTCTGCATGGTCACTGTATTTGATCAGTTGTTCTCCTTCCGACGGAGATGTCAAGGTCGGAAAAAGACCCACCGTGGAATTTCGGCGAACAGTAATGTAGGGATAGAAACATTCATCAGCATCTTTTCTACAAAGAGCTGCTTTGGTATGTACGCATCTTCCTTCCCATTGACGGATTTTAGGGTGCGATCAATGAACTGATACTGTGAGGTGGGTTGATCTGGGCTGTCGTCGAAAATGCTAGTAAGAAGTCAGTATTCAGGCCGACAGGGGCGCGGAATCGAGGGTAAGCGCATTATTGGGATAAAGTCTGCTTTGCTTGCTTACATCTCTCCATGAGTATTCTGTACAAGAACTTTGGCCTCCACCGAGAAATTGTCAGGAGGGGCTAGTTGAGAATGACCTCCATGAAGAAATAAATATCGCATGGAGCCCTTCCCACCCGATGCGTACAACGCATCGTCCGAGCAACACATATCAGGCATTATGGAAGTCGTAACGCTCAAAAATATGGGTGAATTGTGCAGTCGGACAGGTGCAGGTACCTGTTTCGTGGTCACCGTATCGTTCGCGGCATTCCCATGCGGAAGCGTGATGATCACGGGTATTTCGAAGAGCTGACAAACAGATACACACGTGGCCCCATCCCACTTTTCTATTTATATAATAATGAGGAGAGTGTCCCGTAGTACTAAACATCATTAGCTCAATTATTCTTCTCGACTGGGGAGCACGGTTCACCGCAGACTCGGAAGCTCGGATGGCTCGGGGCGTCGCCACAATAGGACTGAATCGCCTCCTTTAACGTTAACTCACTCTGTGTTGGTCTGTAACTTCTATCGTAACCTCATCCAACTGAGTCTCAAAATCTCAACCCCGGATTCATCTAGTGGGACTGGTCACTAGTTGGATATGCCAAGATGCGCAACTGGCCCGCAATGAATGTTCAAACTCTGTCGCAGCTGAAAAGAATCAAGAATCAAGCCACAAATCAGGATACACAGACGTCAAGGATTCCTTATCGACGTAGTTGAGACCTGCTCAGAACCAGGGGACCAGCAACATGGCATTTCTTGATATCAGCTTCGTCATAATATGCATATGGGAAAAAAAGAGTGGCCATCAAGCCAGACCACTTCATGTCGGAACATTTAGTGGGGATAAACAAGTTGTTCATATCCCGGGGCGAGAGTCGTGCCAAAGCCAGTCAGCCAGAACTGCGTGCAGGAACAGTGCAGCGCCTGCCACAATATTGCCCTGCCACAACTCCTTGTGATTGATCGCGTAGTCGCGCACCTCCGTGATAACAACAGTAGGGAATGCATTCGAGTCCCGCTGGCTTTTGCCCAAGTTCAGTCATCCTATATCTCTGCGGGTACGAGAATAGGGGCTCACAGATTGGCTTAGTGTGAAAGCAGACCCGCGTGGCCTGAAGGGCCTTGGCATGATGTTAGTCTCGCAGGGGTGTCGGTCATCACCTTCCTTTAAGATGTAGTGACCGCTTTCGTCGGCAAACGCCCAAGTGGATGTGCCTGCGTTTTCATTGTAAGTAATTCTTACTGTTATCATGTGATGACCGTTGTTTACTTCTCAGCCCTCAATGAGAGCGCTGGCGTTGAACGAAGCTGAACCACTGACGACGTAACCTCGGACACGCTATGAGCTTAGACCCGAGTTGATAACCTTTAGTCAAGACTACTAACGCAGGCTTTCCCGCTATGAATATATAATCCCACAAGTGTCGCTTAGGATTACCACATCCACTTTTCACTCACTTGCTCGCCACATATCCTTGCAAATGTGGCGCAGCTTCCGCCTCAGCTGCTGGAAGAACACCCTGAACATGAGGGGTACAGTGCCCACTACCCAGTATACATCTGCAACTGGGTCGCACCCACCGATTCTAAACTTTTATACATCCTCTAAATACTTTACACCACCGTCACCTACATGGCCCTGCACTTAGAGCCCAACGGTCTCTACCTCCTCCTAGCAGATCGAGAGTCCAGCTCGACGTTCCACTGGGGTCTCTGCCTTGCCAAATCCCCGACCGATGGCACCATTTTCAATATCATCAACTTCCCCAATCGAAGTGTTTACAGCTATGAGATCAAGTCGAACCAAAAGGTCATCACTTCCAGGCAATACCTTCTGGCGCTGAAGGTGGGAGATCTGCACCCCGCACTGCACGGCCCGTTGGAGACCCGCTTGTCGCAGATCCCCATCCAGTACTCGACGCGCTTTCATGAAGCCATGACTTGTCGTGTTTGGGTGAAAGAAGCCCTCTTCGCGTTGGATGACGAGGGCTACATTAAGCTTGTTGAAAGCATTAATGGTATTGAAGCGGAGGCTAGGTTTGCTGCGATGTTGAATAAAGCCAATGGGAAAAGAACTGTGGGCAAAAGTCGTGGATATGTCTTGTGATGCTGGAGTTGGTTATTGATGGTTGGTGATTATGTGTTGATATGTGGATTTTAGTGACTTGCTGATTGGTAGTGCTTAACAGTACTGTTCTTGGAAGCGATGTTTATGTCTTCACTGCTTGATCTGACCTTATCCTGTCCCCTTGACTATTGCGACCTTCATTCTCCTCTCAGCCGGAATAGAGGGGATACAATCCCATAGTAACTCAGGGTACTGAACCGTTGAGTAGAGCCAAGTCCTCCAGTAAATGGGGGTATAGTAATTGACAAGTCGTGCATAGGGAGGGAGAGGGTGGTCTCGTGATCTAAGAGTCGGCCAATTTCCCCGCATTGGAACGGGCTGCTCTGCATCCTGCTGCGTTTTGAATTGATAAACCAACTCATCCCATATCATCCCATACATAATAGATCCTCAAGTGCTCCTTGGCCTTGAAAGTGTGACCGACCCTGCATTATTTTCACTCTGCGTTGTTATTCGCTGAACGATCCTGTTGACAACAAGGGATAAGGCTGAAACTTCCAAGCCGATGTCAGAGCCACTGGTGCAGATGTTAGTCCAAACCTTGCCCAGCCGGACCCTTCGGAAAATGCAGCGTTGAATGAAAAATAACACGTCAAACTGTCCGGCATATGCCAGCACATCCGGATCTGTGATATCATATTTCCGGCTCTCCTTCGGTGCAACAACCGCCTTAGGTACTCAGCCTTATAGCACGCATAAATTATCCGTGACGAGAAAACCCGACGAAAACGGGCTTGAATGAAGAAGTTAGTAGATTAGGAAAGTCTCCGTATTACCGTGTGCCCTGGCCCTGAGAGAAACCTATTGCGAGTCTGATACACACAAGACTTCTGCTGCAAAGGTCGTCGCGGAGGAAACTGTGCGCCTGTCCTAATGTGCCTATTGGTTAGTAACTCTACACCCGGATACTAAGCCCATACAGACTTTTTCGTTTTGTACAAGACCGCAAGTCATGTGTGATCCTGACCAGTTCTGATAACTCGATTACTAGAGTCGGAACCTAAGCTAGCTTCAATACCTTATAGAGTATATCCCTATTTTGCCGTTCATTCATTTTGTGTAGTGAGCTACAGGGTTTTCGAGGTCGCATCGCTGAACTGCATGCAGGCTTGGATGTTTACTGTGTAACGCATCGTTTCCCTCGAAGTCTATGCCTCCTTGCTTGGACGCCTTTCGAAGCAAATCATGTGTGCCCACAACATCCTTTCGATCAGCCTCACTACTACCCAACCCTCAGCCCGGCCGGCATACACAGTTCGTGTATGTCATCGAAGGATGTTCGTTTGAACAATTACTAAATCCAGTTTAGTGATGCCCAATCTGTTTCCTACGTTGCGGTGTCGTCAAGCTAAGCCCCTTCTGAGAACAATGTAGGATGTCTTATTCTTACAACTATGAAAATGTGGCTCACTAGGCACAAGTACGAGGTTATGTCTCATCTGTCCTGTAGACATGGACCGATCGAGTCACTAATCGGAGTTTGCGGGGCACCACGCGGCTCGTATAGTGCCGATCGGGCTTGATCTGAGTCAGACACGATCTGAACCCAAATTATCCAACTAATGAATGCCTTGAACTTGTCTCGCTCTCGAACCAGTCATTTCTCGCTCCGAGTGTCGGGGTGGGCTCAGTAGTCACGGGTGGCTTGCCTGACAGCGGCGATCTTTCCGTGGCACCCGGTCCTATGACATCGATGCATCAGACCTGTAGATGCCTATTTTTGGTATGCCCAATACGGAAACCACGAACACATCTAGAAGGAGAACATCTTATGAATCAAGCGGTGTGGGGTTGTAATGAACGAGCAGGAGTCACCGAAAACATATAAAAGCCCCCGTCTCTCCATGTCACTTGGGAAACAATACATCCCTCTAACCAGCATCTTCTCATCTTCATATTGACAAGAAGTCTCTCCAAAAACATCTTATACCAATTCATCCAAAGCACTCTATCAAAATGAAGACCTCTTTCATCACTGCGGCTTGCTCTACCTTCGCTGCTCTGTCCAGCGCCGCTCCCACTGATAGCTCAACCTTCGAAGTCGCCATCACCTTCTGGGGCGCCGACGGTTCTTCGTTCTTCCAAAGCTTCCCAGCTGACGATACCACTCATGCAATCAGTATGTCTTTGACTTTGTTACTGTTACTCACGGCCACGAAGGACCTGTTACTAACACCTTTCTTCAACAGCCAACCCACTGTCAATTACCAAGATTTCCTCTGTCGGAGGCGGATTCTGCTCCTTCCAGGGAGTTGATGGCAGCAGCACTGTGGTGGCTGGTGAGGTCACTGTGCCTGTCAGTCCCCCACAGACCCAGGTATCTGGAACCTGCGACATTCTGTGAACGATGAGAAAAAGCTTCCTATTGAGACACGGGAATGATTGTGGCGATGACGTGCTCATGTCGGTCTGGGGATTGTTACGACCAGAGTACACCGATGAGACAATGACTCTATGTGATTAGCTCGACAGTATATGTTGGTTCTGCATTGGCTTAAAGTTTTGTTCGTATTGATGTAATTAGCAAGTGATGACCTGGAAATCTTCCAGCGCCCGCATGAATTCGAAACTTTTTTTCGATACACTTTAGGCTCGTTTTGTTCTTTATACTCCGTCTTGTTCGCTCCTTTCACTTCCTGTCCTAAACAAGTTTATTGTGCAATGCAATGTAGTGGGTAACAATGCCACTGCAATACGCAAGACAATATCTTATAGTAGATTGATCGGTTTCCCCATATCTACCTTGCCATTACCCAACCATTAGTGTACGCCCTGATCAATAGCACCGGTATGGCTAATGTCCATTTGGCCAATTCGCAATGGATGTGTCTAAAGGATTATGGCTTCGGAGTTACTGACTTATATCCTATACCCGAGGAATGACATCACGGCACAGCGTAAGCCGTTGATAGAATGTCCTACTATAAATGTCCCAATGACAAAAGGCTGATGAATTGAGACCGACCACTTCATGAAACCCCTTATTCTCGTTAAGGATGAATCCATCGTCGTTCGAATTCACTCTTCCACTTCATGGCAAGCTCGCCATCGTGACGGGCGCATCCCGCGGCATCGGCGCCAGCATCGCGTGGGAACTTGCACGTCGCGGTTCAAATGTAAGCCATCACAAATACACAACCCCTTCCCTACATCATAAAAAATAAACTAAAACCCTCCCAGATCTGCATGACCTACGTCTCTCCCAGCAGCGTCCAATCCATCACCGACCTCCGCACCAAAATCACCCAACTCCCCCACAACCCCAAAACATGGACCATCCAAGCCGACCTCTCCACACCCACCGGCGCCTCAGATCTGATCTCCGAACTCAAATCCCATCCCACCACCTCAACTCCCCTCAGAATAGACATCCTAGTCAACAACGCCGGCATCGAAATCGTCAACTCCCTCACCGAAATCACCATAGACGACTACAACAACGTCTTCAACCTCAACGTCCGCGGCACCATGCTTATGACCCAGGCCGTGCTACCGTATCTCCCACCCGAGGGTCACGGCCGGATCATCAACTTGAGTTCGGTTGGGGCAAGGTACGATTTCAAGGGGATAAGTCTGTATATTGCGTCCAAAGCGGCGATTGAGGAGTTCACGCGCGCTTGGGCGGCTGAGTTGGGTGGGAATGGGACGACGGTTAATGCTGTTGCGCCGGGGCCGGTGCCGAGTGATTTGCTGGATAGGATTCCGAGGGAGATTGTGGAGGCGCAGATGGCTAGCACGCCGGTGGAGCAGAGGTTGGGAACGACGGGGGAGATTGGTAGTGTGGTGGCTTGGTTGGCGGGGAGGGATGCTTCGTGGATTACTGGGCAGGTTGTTTCTGCGAGTGGGGGGTGGGCGATGTATTAATCTTGGTTGGGGTGTGTAGATTAGGTTGGTGGGGAGGCGTCTGGGGAAGTAGTGTGCTGCTTGAGGGGAGATGATGTTGTAAAGTTGCAAGTATGGGTGGGTTTAGTGCTGGGAGGCACAGTTGCTACCCAATGTAATGTTCATCCACACCTGCCGAATGTGGCTATTTTCACGGTAGGTGACTTGCAGGACAAACTATAGGCGGGACATCTTTGTTATAGCTACCTCTTCACAACCATCCTACTCAATCTCTCCCGTGCTGGGTTGAGTTACCCGTCAGTTTACATGAAGAAGAGAAAGGTCAACAGATATAGGGGCAGAAAGTGCGTCTGTCCGATAGTTCGCACCGCAAATATCACCAGTCTACTGAGTGACCCTATGCTTCCATTCTATCTCATCTTCTTATGGTAACAAATCTCAGTATCAGGCGAGTTTGAATCCCAGCGCCCACGATACCTCGTCCTATTCGATACGGAACTATCAAAGAACGATCAAAGCACCTCGAAAAGCTACAACACGATTTGGAGGCTGATTTTCACGAGTGACTCTGCACTCCCTCGTGTGACCATATAAGTGGATGATCCTAGCTGAAACTGTCGTTGGTGAGCCCAGGGTAAGACGAGACCGATGCATTTTGTGTTGCAGCCAATTGTCCGAAGCCTGAGTTGGCGTCGCAACAAATTCGGAATTGCTGATAATTTTGTAATGAAAAGACTTGAGGTGCAGAGAATGGAGTGAACCGATTTTCAATTGATGAACTCTGGTCAGCTACCCGCTATTACTCTTGGTACTTTCACTCCTATTCGCTTATAACCCGAGGAGACATTTGTTGAGGTGCTGCCGATCCATCTTGTCTCTCTGATTGGTGCTATAGAAGATTCGGCGCCGATCTCGTTCGGCTGACAGCTTAGTTCATTTAAAGGTGGACCCCCATGCGCTAAATCGCCGCTCAGCATCCCCTGCCCCTCGATACAATCAACAATGGATCTATCTGCTTCCCTGCATCTATCATCCAAGAACCCCACACATTATCGGCCTGCAATCTTGAATGATTTTGATACATCCCCTTTATAGGACAAGTTCATTATCTGCCCCATGCTGAGGATATGACTGTGGTGACCCGTCCCCCTCGCGATCGTCATGGTTTTAAGATCGCCATTGTCTGTGCTCTTCCCCGGGAAGCAGATGCAGTGATCGCGCTTCTTGACCATCACTGGGAGGATACCGAAGAGGTCTACAGCAAAGCTCCTGGTGATCCCAATTCCTACACTACCGGTGTTATCGGCATACACAATGTTGTGGTCGCGCATATGCCGCCTACGGGCAAGGGCAGTACGGGTGGGGTAGCTACGGGTTTGCGCACTAGCTTTCCCAGTATTGATCTCACCCTGGTCGTAGGAATCTGTGGTGGCGTTCCTTTGGATGCCGACCGGCAACGAGATATCTTCCTTGGAGACGTTATCTTCAGTCAAGGAGTGGCGGAGTACGATTTCGGGCGACAGTATCAGAGTGACAGGCACGCCGATGGTGAGGAGGTTAGAGGTGTACCTTCCTTGTCCATCCAATCTGTCCTGCGAAAACTGGAGACCGATCGCCATCTACAACACCTCGAGGAAGAGACAAAAATCTGGCTTCAGACCCTGCAGCACCGACCAAAATACAAGTATCCTGGTCGTGAGTCGGACCAGCTCTTCCAACCATCATATCTTCATCGTCACCGTGAGCCATCCACTTGTGGCGAGTGCTCTGACGAGAATGTATGCGCTGATGCACTCAAGGCTTCCTGCTGCGACTTGGGATGCGATGAGAATAACCTGGTGAGTAGGGAAAGGACTATTATGTGTCCGCAAACCCCAGAAGGTTCAGAACGAACCGAAACAGGGCCGTGGCCAGCTATTCACATGGGTCGCATGGGCTTTGGCAGTGCCGCCATTGAGTCCGGTAAGCAGCATGGCGAAATTGCTGAGCGCGAAGGCATCATTGGTTTGGAAATAGAAGGCGCCGGTGCCTATACTAGTAGCTTCTTCCCCAGCTTCGTCATTAAGGGAGTCTGTGATTATGCAGATTCGCACAAAAATGAGGTTTGGCAGGATTACGCAGCAGCAGCTGCTGCTGCGTGTACAAAGGCCTTTTTACAGCATTGGGCAACAGATGCGATGAGTACGAATGTCGAGTTTGGTGAAATCATGACCATGATACATTCTGGGGGTCTCCTGCAGGGTCAGGGCAAGCCAGCCGCTGCTGCTGCTGTATTTTGGAAAGCTCTAGAACGGATGCAAGAATCGCAGACCACAGGTTCTCCCATAGAGACTGATACCATCACGGGATTGACACAAGCCTTGGTCGCCCTGAACCGACATGCCGAAGCTGAGCCTCTCCTAGTTCAGTCTGTTAAGTCAAACATCCGACAAGTGGGTGACCAAGAGTCAACCGTCGCCGCGATGAGGAATCTGGCTGAGTTTTATGAGGAATGGGATATGTCCCTGGCGGCGCAGCCTCTTCGGACAAAGGTCGCACAAATAAATCAACGTCGACTAGGCCGTGGGAGTGTACCCGCTTGTCTAAGCCAGTACGAACTCGGATTGAACCTCATCCGACAAGGACGGCATGCTGAAGCAAGGCCAAGCCTGTACACTAATCTCGAGTACCCTTTGGAGGCTGAGGATGTGAGCCACAAGGGCAATCTCTATCGCATGGTGAATATCGCAGGTAGACTTGCTGACTGCGGGATTGATCGGTGCGAATATCTTCGCGTGGCAGAGCACATGGCACGCGATGCGGTGCGGCTGGTCAGACCACGAATGGAGACACTGCCGTATGTAGCTCTATCAGCCTTCCGGACGCTTGGCTTCGTGTATAGGCTGCTTGGGAAAGCTGCTGAGGCAGAAGAACAATATCTGGAGTCGCTGACCATTGTAAACGGGCGCAGTCAGATGGAATGGTTGGAATCAGATGTGATGGTCAGGTGCTCCTCAGTTTTACTTGAGCAGGGGCGATATTCTCCCGCCTTGAGCATGGCTTCTGAGGCACTGGGGAAGGTTCAGAGGCAGGCAGAGCCTCTTGGAGAAACCGTGGCACGCTGCCGTACAAATCTTGCTTTGGCCTATATGGAAATGGGGCAATATCGCTCGGCTGGATCGCTTGTGGTTGACATTCTGAGCAAGGCGTATGAGGATGCCTGGGACGTTGAGAAGTCCACTCTTTCCTCTCTCCTTGGAATAGTATCCATCATTGAAGATGTTGCCGCTACATTGAGCAGAGCAGGATGTTGGCAACAATCCCAGCATATTTACGAAAAGACGCATTCGATCTTAGCTCAGTTGCTAGGGACGATGGACATGCGCACACTGCGGACCTCCTTGCGCCTCCGAGATACGCTTAGCTTACAGGGCAATTTTATGGATGCCTTGGTACTCAGCCTTGAGTGTAAAGACCGCTACTTGCAGCGAGTGCGACAGGATACCGTGCCCGAACGAATGATAATGGCTCAATTGGACATTGGGCTTGCTCGGGCATACGAGGGACTGGGGGACCACACGACGGCAGAAGCACTTGCACGCCAGGCGTTGAAGACGATTACCGAGAGTACAGACGAGAATAGTCCAGAGTCACTCCGCGCAACCGCTATTCTGGGAAGTATACTTGTGTCACAGGGCGGCCCCAAGTTAATGAAGGGTAGTGCCATGCAACGTCGTGTTGTGGAGACATGGGCTACATTGACAGAAGAAAATTCTTTACCAGCACTGGAGGCTATAGAGGCGGTTGCTCGGACGTGTGAAATTCAAGGGGATAAGGAACAGCTTACGGTTTGGAGGGAAAGAGCATCGTCGGTGAAAGAGACATTTGAGGAGAGTTTGAGCGAAGAGGAAGAGGACAGGATTGAGTATTTGGTTGGGCAAGTATTTGAAAAGTGGACCGAGAATAGCGAGAAGGTTATTCAAGAGATCGATCGACGGAGGACAAAGGTATTCACGATGATGTTGCCATAGATCAATCCTATGTATATTTAGCTTGGTTTCCTGTTATGGACGGCGCCAGTTCACTTGAAGTTATCCTAAGATCTTATGAAATTGCTGTCCCTATAGCGTGCGAGGGTTTGCACCATAATTAACAAGACGTTGTTGACTTTTCTCATCAGAGATCCCGCGGGGATCCGGATATTGTTTTGATCATAATTGATATTTCTATTACCAATCTACATCTTTGCACGAGGCACCTCAAGCGCATCAGTAATCCCCACATCTCGCACGACCAAATGATCAAGATCCTGCGTATTAATCAAGGCCGGATTCGCCTGCGAAAGATCCGTAATTCCAACCAACTTCATCGCAGTCTCCAGCTCAGCTTGCAAAACTTCTCAACATCAGTATTCCATGTAACATACAGAGTATAAAGTATAAGTATAACCTACTATCAACAAGATGCTTAGGTCCATCCTCTCCGTAAGCAAGCGAATACAGAAACGGCCTGCCGATTAGCACTGCCCTCGCTCCCAGACAAACTGCCTTGAGTATATCGGTGCCACGACGGATTCCTCCATCGATGTAGACTTCTACTTGACTGAAAATAGAAGGTAGATGGCGTCGTAATTCGAGTAGTGTAAGTAGACCGGGCGGGGATGTGTCGAGGTTGCGGCCGCCGTGGTTGCTTTGTACTCGTTAGTCCGTCTATAACTCACTTCTGGATCCAAATACAATGGGATAATAACTGACTAACCTCAAAACAATCCCACTGACACCGACTTCCACCGCCATCTGCGCATCCTCCACAGACTGTATCCCTTTAATAACCAGCCTTCCAGGCCATTGTTGCTTCAACCACGCGAGATCCTCCCAGCAAAATGAGCTGTCAATAAACGACCCCGTGGTGCGGGTGAGTCCGCTTCCTGCTCCATCATTCTTCGATCGAGTACCTGTCATGGGCATAGATATTATCTCTTCTGCTTTGACTTTCTCGTCCGCTTCCCGTTTTCCCGCTACGGGCGCATCGATCGTCACGAATAGGGTGTGGATACCCAGCTTCCATACCCTGCGTAGAAGGGACTCGGAGGCTGTTCGGTCTTTGGCGACGTATAACTGGAAGAAACAGGTGGTAGAGGGGGATAGGATGTCTGATGTTATGTCTTCGATTGGGATGGAGGCTGTGATTGGTATCTGTACTTTTGTCAGCATGTAGTAACATTACTTTAGGCAGATATAGATATGAGAAGGGGAGAGATAGGAACAACGTACACAATGAAAGATACCCCTACTAGCAGCAGCCCTAGCTAATCCCTTCTCGCCGATAGGATTTGCCAGTCTTGCCAAAGCCACCGGCGCAACGATGACAGGCAAAGAGCATTCGACACCCTGGATTGTACATTGTGTGCTTATGTCCTGCACGTTGCGTAGTAACCGGGGCCTGAACCAAATGCGGTTATAGAGCGATCTGTTCGCGTTAACAGATACCAGATCTGTGGCGGCGGACGAGTAGAACGTCCATGCTTTTTTCGAGAAGGTGGTCTGCGCAACGCGCTCAAACTCATGCGCACTCAATATGGTGCTTAGAGGTTTTTTGTTGGGTGGAGGAGCTGCCTCTCGAACAGAGTTGTTGTAGGATTTCGCATGGAAAGAAGACTGATCGAGTTGGCCGATGAGTTTGTCTGTAGTGAGGGTTTTGGATATAAGGTCGGGAGTGTGCACTTCATTGTAAGCCTGAGAAGCATCCTGGCCTGCGTAGCGGAGGATGGCTGGTTTCGAACGCTTTCATTAGCTTATAGGGTATCATGCATGATGGATGTTGATACTCACCGCCACAACCGCCTGGGTGGTCTGGGGCGAGTTCAGTCAAGTCCCAGATTTGATCATTGATCACGACCCAGCAATCACTGGGACTGCAATGTTGGGCAACTTCAGCCGCAGATATGCGCTTAGGGCCAGCCATCCGTAATTGGCAAGGGGAGCAGGTTGGTGGTGGGGAGAGATCTGAAGCAGAGGGTACTTGCATTTTCTTATGAAGACGAGCCACTTATTCCCATGCAGCAGTGGCCACCTGCCATTCGTCTACTACTGCGTTCTACGAGCGCATTCTTCGGTTGTAGACCATGCCCATATTCCGTCATTATCCAACAGCTCACCCGTAATTAATACTCTAGGGATCGGTGATCACCGCCAATGCATCTAATCTAGTGCCACGCATAACGACCAAGTCCTCCGAGGCACATATCCGATCGCCGATCTTATCGCCACGTACATAATAAGAAATAACAATCTCTACTAGATGCGCATGCGTGACCAGCGATGATCGTCATTCACGCATGCATATCGCCACTTGTTTAAACATGAACCAGGGTTATTTCGGGCTTTGCATATCATCACGTTGCACCCTGTGGCGTAAACAGTAACGCTCTATGAACCAGTAATATGGGATGCTGGGGAGATAAGGCCTGCTAAAGCTGTGGATCTTTGCAAATTATTGCAGGGCTTGCTTCGGACTTCGGACCCTTTTCTGATTAGTTTGCCCTCGGTGACCGGTGATGATTTTCAGCTGAGGCTGTGGATTCATTTGCTTTTAATCTAATCTTCTAGAGAGTGATCAATCTATGACTTCATGCTACGGGGCAGGCACCCTGTAATATTTTTGTAGTAAACATGAACAGGTACTCTTCATGGACAGCTTTTTCTAGGTTGTTATCTATGATGTATGGCCTTGTTTACAGCCTTGCTGCCACGGCATCGTGCTCATTTCCTGGCACAATCGCCTCGAAATATCTATTCAAAGCTGATGCACTCGTTATCCCCTCACATAGATCAAGAACACATCCAACGTATCCATCGGGACGCACGACGACGATACCACCCTTTTCTGCATCGAATCCCATCTTGACATGAGCGCTCCTTTCCGTAGCTTCGCCTCCCTGCGACATTTCGCGATCGTCCGCGTAAACGTGATACCTATAACAAGCGAAGTATTCCGGAAGGCATTCCTGGATTTCAATCGTCGATCGCGGTGCGTGGGAAACGAGCGAAAAGGTGAAGAATGGGGAGTGAGGATTGTGTCTTCCTTCGTACGAAATATCAACGTTTCGCTGATACCGGCGAAAGATGCTGCTCTTGGCCTGTAGATTATCGGCGAGATCAAATATTGCTGTCGAGGTAGTTGCAGGTTTTCCTGCAAAGATGTAGATCCGGTAGCTGCCGTTGAAGGGGATCTCCTGTTCCAAGTAGACGGGGTGGGCATCGATGACCCTCGTTACGGTTGCGGTAGGAAAGCTGCGACCAGGACGCAGAGCTGTTGTATTTGATGGTGTAGAAGTTGAAGGCCAAGTTAAGCTGTTAACAGGATACTCGACGCCGTAGCCACTCGTCAAGAACGTGTTCTGCTTGAATACCTGAACAAACTCCGAGCTCGGAGCAACCTTATTCTCGCCAGCAGGCTGCCGAGAACTGAACAGGTTCGCGTATGTTGCATCAAACTCAATCAGCTTCGCTGCTACGAGCTTCCGTTCTCCTTCGTACGTTTTCAGTAGGGAGCGACGGAGAAAGCCAGATTCGACCAGGTGTAATTTCCATGCGAGATTGTGTGCATCTAAGAAGCCGTAGTTCATCCCCTGACCGGCTTTGGGCTGCAGGAAACAAGGCTGTTAGTTTGAACATTACTGCTCTTCTCTGGTGTGTGTCAAATGCTTACACTATGCGTATGACATGCATCTCCTCCAATAAAGACTCGCTCATCGAGAGAATAATTCGAGGCAAGTCCTTGTCCAATTCGGTATGCAGAGTGCCAATCTACTCTCTCCCACTCCACTTTATATGGAGCAAGAATCTCGTTTGCCGACTGTTGGATTTTCGGTACTGTCGCAAACGCGAGAGGTTCCTGTCCATTCTTCGGAAACATCTGAGCGTAAATGCGGACAACATTGTTTCCGTGAGGGATAATCATGACGGATCCTTTGGAGGAATGTACGGTACATTTCATCTAGTGAGTTGTATTGTCAGCCAATGGTGTCAACGAGCCCAAACGGGTGATCCAATATTCCACGAAATGGGTATGCACCTGAATGTCCGGAAAGTCGCTCTTAACCACCCCGTCAATGACACTCCACACATGCATTGTTGGATCTTTCGACAACATCGGTACCCCAAGAAGATCCCTCACCCGGCTTCGCGGTCCATCTGCACCAAACAAATATTTTGTTCGCACAGTCGAACCTTCTCTCCCGTCCACGCTGACGAGGTCCACTACCAGTGGGTGATCGGGATACTCTCCACACGGCTCATTCCTAAACCCTGTGATGGTCCAAGTTCTTTGTATTTCAAGCCCTCGCTCCCTTAAATCATCCAGGAATATTTTTTCTATCCGGCCTTGATGGAGGAGGGTACTGAACGGGTGTCTCGTATCGATGTAGTCAGGATAGCTTTTCGCAGTCCCCGTGCGTCGAATCCCCCGCGCGTCGTTTGAAGCATCCCAGAATGCAACCTCGTAGACTCGCCCTGGGTTATAAGACATGATGGCACGTTTGAGGTCCAAATTCTGCAACACATCAAGAGCCCGCGCCTGGATTCCAGCAGCGCGTCCAGTCTTTGTCGGGAAGGGCCGCTGGTCAATGTGCTTGATCTTGTACGGTCCCAAGCGTAGGAGACATGCTGACAACATGAGCCCTACCGGTCCAGCTCCTACGACGACAATATCGTAACATTCGGTCATGGTTTAAATCTCCTTGATTGGTCTATCTGAGCCTTTCAAGGTCTTGCTCTTGCTAGATGGAGGGTTTCGGTATGAGGTTCAAGGACAATAAGGGGAATTGGAATCGTCCACCAGCCGGAAGAGAAGTGGCCCTTTGGCTTGCTGTCATGCGGAGACACCGAAAAAAGTAACGACATGATACTAGTCATCAGGTAAAATAGTGCGAGAACCTTTGCTTACCATTGACCTCGCCAACATATGTGTGCCACGTGCCCCAACGAAATCTCCGACTGAAGCTGCAGCATTGCCACCACGGATAAATTACAGAGTGTAATCCATACATGCTTGTCTCACCCCAGCCACTCAATCTGCACGGGTGTGACTCGAGATACAGGGCAAACCGGTTGATGACGCGTCAACCAGTTCAGCTGTGATCTGTGATCTACGGCCCGCGGAGGGCCGCGCCACTAGCTTAATCTACCGCAGTTGACGCCCCGTGCGCAGCACAACCATGCTTATCTCTAAACCTAATGGGAGAAGTCTACAATGGCACAGCTAAAATCCATCACTAATCTTAGGCCCATACTAAGCACCTACACCTGACCCCGTCAATTGACCGGTGCCGTATCAAGTAAAGTGTCGAGCTAATTGATGATGTTCTACTTACTTTTCCGAGCCGGCGTTTCGGGTAAAGAGGCCTGCAATGATGTTTCTCATCCTTGCTGACGCAGGAAAGAGCGCTCCAAGGACCATCGGAAGAGGCGTCAGTGGCGTCAATATACGCCATCTCAAGATGATCTGGAGTAGATACAGAAGCAGGATTCAGGACAATAGTAACAACAGTGTCGTAATTCCGCACGACAAGTGGCCAGGGCTCACCGAAACTTATGCTGCTCCTTTCTCCCATCCTTGCAAGATCCGGCAACCTGCCACTGCCAGCAACTGATATTCGTGGCAAATTGCCAAGCGCCATTCGATTTGCGTACTAGCTTCTAATTACACATGCCAAGGAAGATTCGGTGTTTGCTTTCTCTTCAGCCCTTCTTCCCTTCCCACAACCATGCATGATACATGATGTATGATGCATCAGCTGAGATGTAAGATGGCAAATCGCTTCTATCTACACTCTATGTCGAAAGATAGTTGGCAATACATTTCCGAGGATGGCTATAAATTTGTTCCTGGACAGTATACCACGCCGAGTATTTCAAGCTATTCTTGAGCTTCAGTGTTCCCGTCAAACCACTCGATCATCTTCACCTCTGTATGGATTTCGAAACTTACTATTTACATAACATGCATTCCACCGGCGTCAACGGCGAGCCATCCAAGGTCCCGCCCAACTTGGCCGTGATTAAGAGTATCAATCCCAACTACACCGGCTTTGACTATATCTCCTGGTATCTGGGCAATGCCCGGCAAGCTGCCACCTACTTTGTCGCTCACTTCGGCTTCCGGGTTATCGCATACAGCGGACCAGAAACCGGATCGCACTTGACAACTTCCTATGTTGTCGCCAATGGAAACGCTCGCTTTATGCTGACTGCCCCAATCACTGGGCCCCAGAACATCCCCTCTGATAAGAACGTGTCTGAAAAGGATCGCAGTCTGTTGACCGAGATCCAGGCACACTTGCTCAAGCACGGCGACGGAGTCAAAGATATTGCCTTCCAGGTTGATGATGTCAGAGGCGTGTGGGAGCATGCGATCCAAAACGGGGCAACCTCAGTCCAGAAGCCAACTATACTTAGTGATGAAAAGGACGGGGAAGTTCTCTGTGCAACCATTAAGACTTATGGAGATACAGCTCACACTCTGATCAATCGGTCAAACTACAGAGGAGTTTTCCTTCCTGGATTTTGCCCGGTAAATGATATGAATGCTCTAAATGAGCTACTGCCAAAGGTGGATCTGATTGAAATTGACCATTGCGTCGGGAACCAGCCTTGGGATGGTCTCGACGGGATTGTTAAATAGTAGGCATACTCTTTCCCTTATCTTGTCATTCCGATATCTTCAAAAGCACTTTGCTTATCATTGTATCTGTTAGTTACGAGGATGCTCTGAACTTCCACCGCTATTGGTCTGTGGACGACAAAGATATGTGTTCGGACTATTCGGCCATGCGATCAGTCGTTGTGGCATCTCCGAACAATGTGATCAAAATGCCGATGAACGAGCCAGCCACTGGTCTGAAGAAATCTCAAATCGAAGAGTAAGTCGCAACATCCCACCTTAAAAAAGGGTCCTGGTGATTAATCAATGCTTATGTATCTGTCTAGATTCGTGGACTACTACGGAGGAGCAGGCTGCCAGCACATCGCTTTCCGAACAAACAACATCATCGAAGCCGTCGAGAGCCTTACCAATCGTGGCGTAAGCTTTCTTTCAGTCCCTAGCAACTACTATGTCAACATGCGTGAAAAGCTAGCTATGAAGAACGTCAATATTGCCGAAGATATCAACCTTCTACAGAAATATAACATTCTTATCGACTTCGACGAGGGGGGATATCTTTTGCAGATCTTCACGAAGCACGTGGGTGACCGTCCTACCGTCTTTATGGAAATAATCCAAAGAGAGAATTTCGATGGGTTTGGGGCTGGGAACTTCAAGAGTCTGTTCGAGGCTTTTGAGAGGGAGCAGGCGTTGCGCGGGAATCTTTGAGGTTTTTGAAGCACGCAGGTGCTTTTGACAACGTATATTTTCAGAGCAGACAACATGATATCTTTTTCCTGTTTTATATATGAGATCATGTATCAGATGTCGCAGATAAATTACATATCCCAGATATGCTTCCCTCTTTCCAATATTTTCTTTCCTTCCTTCTTGTGTCTTCGAGGGGATCGAAGTAGACCCGTGTAGTCATGGAGCGCAGTATCGGGCAAGTACCCGATCAATTATCGAACCAGCATTGCATTTTTGGTGGCCTGCGATTGCAGGCAAATCAGGTATCTTTCAAGGTAGCTACAAAGTTCCTGGTAAAGCTCAAACCCGAACTTCATCCAGAAGACAAGCAGCCTTGGCTGAGTGGACCCACCATCGGCATCTTCCGACACCGGCGATTGATAATCTGATAATCACTGCCGACGCCATATTCAGGAACAAATTTTCCATCTACACAGTCACTACCTATACCACCGACATCGACCAATTATTGAATCCTTTCATTCCTACATACGCACCATCAATGCTAGACTTACTTTCTAGCATCCCTGCCACCATTCAACATGGTCTAGACTCTGCTCCTAATATCCTCCTACTATCCATCACCCTCCCCATCTTCCTTTGCTTTATTTTCCTTCTCCCCTACCTCAACCCCACACCTCCGCCCCCAAAAGGCTGCCGCAGACTGGGTCTCTCTCCATCGCAGCGCTCCAACTTGCATGATGAATACTCACCCAAATACATCCACGGCGTGCCCAGCACTGCCACAGAGCCTGAATCTGGGATTCCAGCCTGGCGTATCAAAGCGCTGTTCACGTACCCGATCAAGAGCTGCGCAGGAGTGGAGCTCGAGGCAGCGGATGTGATAGAGACGGGTTTGATGTATGATCGGCTGTTTTGTTTTGCGGAGTTCTTCCCTTCACCACATCCTGCCACCGCTAGCACCAACACATCAACCTCAACATCAAATGAGAAAGAAAATGATGAGGCGAATGGAACCTGGACAGCCCGCACCCTCCGAGACCGCGACTTCCGACAGCTCGCCCTCCTCCGTCCAGAGATCTGGATTCCTGATCCATCGTCACCTACATATTCAGCCACAAATCCAGAGACATTATCAAACGGCGTCCTGCTAATACACTACCCCCTCCCACCATCTCGCAACCCCCTAATTACCCTGCTAAGAACCCTGCACATCCTCGCATCCCAATCATCCTTCACCATCCCCCTCGACCCCCGGCCTAACTCATCAACACAATTCCCCCTCACCCCCGTCAAGATCTGGAAAGACATCCCTCTCGCACACAATTACGCCCACCTCCTCCCCGCAACCCTGAAAGATCTTCTAACATACGACACCACCCTCCCACCCCATCAACGGAGAAAGCTCTCCCTGTTCCGCGCAAGCACCACTCACAGACGAGAGATCTACCGCAATGCCCCTCGCAAAGAAAATATAGGCTTCCAGCCCGTGACTGGCTTCGCGGATGCGTATCCGATCCATTTACTCAACATGGCGAGCGTGAGAGATGTTGCGGCCAACTGTGCGGACGAGATTTTCGAGTTGAGTGTGAGGCGATTTAGGGCGAATGTGATTGTTCAGGGGCCGGGGAAGTTTGTGGAGGATGAATGGAAGAGGATAGTTATTGGAGATTCCTCTGGCGATGGAGTCGAAATCTACACAGCATGCCGCACCATCCGATGCAAATTGCCCAATGTAGATCCTGATACCGGGGTACGACATCCCCGGGAGCCGGACCGGACGTTGAAGAGGTATAGACGCATTGATGTGGGGGATTTGACGAATGCGTGCTTGGGAATGCAGTGTGTTCCTGCAGTTAAAGGTATTGCCTTCCTCCTATTGCTTTGTTTGTGTAGTTTGGAATAACTAACTGATGGTGTAGAATTTACCTTGCGTGTCAATGATCCTATTACGGTGTTGGAGACAGGCGAGCATTGCTATATCAAGATGTTGGCGCCGGGGGAGAAGGTTGAGGGGGTATAATTACACATTGTGCTCTACGTGATGTTGTGATAATCTTGTATCATTATTGTATTAATAGGTTTCTTTGTGTGAAGCTATTATTTATAGTCACCTATACGTACTTGCTCTCCTATAATGATCGTAGCTCCCCTCTTCTAGGTGCCGCCGCTTTAGTAATGGTATTCAAGGGCCTGCTCAGTCAGTATTCCACATCACAGATAACCGTTCAGTGAACGCCCAAGGCCTAATCATCGAGCAGTCACATCTTCTCTGATCTACTCATCTGTCCCTGTGTTTACAGCCTTGTGAGACAATTTCACGTGATGTCCCATGTATGGACTAGTTTAACTCAAATATGGGTCGTGCCCCTCCACTAGCTCGTACTTCAAATGCCATCTTCAAGGCTGTGGCCTCCTGCCGTGGAATTTTGCCTCAAGCAGCCTTGATTTTGATTTGCATGCTTGTGCGCACTTGATATGGTTGAACCAATTGGCCTTGTCGGCACCCTCATCGGCATTGTCCAGGTATGTGGTAAGTTGGTATCGGTATGCTATGACTACCGCATGGGCGTCCGAGATGCGCCCCAAGCTATCTCTCGGATTGTGGACGAGGTCGCCAGTGTTGGGTACATCGCACAGCAACTAATGAAGGCAATTGAGTCCGACGATGCCTCTTCTTTGCCTTCTTTGCTGTCTTTGCAGGCGATGGATGGGGATGGTGGTACTCTCCGCAGTTGCTTGGTCGAATTGCAGGACCTGAAAGCAAGTTTGAAACTAGGGAAAACCTCCAGTTCGAAGCGTGCTCTGGTGTGGCCCTTACAACCTGTAGATGCGGAGAAAGTATTGCAGACCCTTGCGACGACCAAGAGCAAGCTGCAATTGGCATTGGCGGCTGATAATACGTGGGTAGTTTGTGACAGAATATGCAACCGCGGCTTTCTGACGGTTCGTCTAGCCAGAACATGGAGGTAATAAGCCACACCCGGTCGTTGCCGAGCGTTGAGAAGAAGGTTACTGGACTATCGGAGAGTGTGGCTCAATCCGACGAGGGTAAGCTGTGGTTCAGAGTCAACAAGACTGCTAATAACATTTTTAGGCCGTGAATTAGCAGAACTTCTCAGCCAGCTTGGTGGACGCTGTCAATCAGCCAAGCAAGATGAAGAGTATCAAAAGTGTGCTCCAGCTACTGGTGACTGGCTATTAAATACAGAGCAATACATGAAATGGAAGATCAACCGCAACCATCTCTTGTGGGTCAAAGGAGCCGGTAAGTGGCACCCTCCGTACTGAGCTTAACCGTCTACTGATTACCCTGCTTTAGCTGGATGTGGTAAGACCGTCCTATGGTACGTACGCTTCCTATTGGATCCAGTCGACGAGTGTCTCTGCGCCCATTTCAATTATGATGGTCTGACAACTAGCAGTTCGAGGATCATTAAAGATCTTCAGGACCACTGTGGTGGGGAGCAAAGTAGCAGCCTATGCTATTTCTTCATGGATGCATCGGAAGAAAGAGGAGTCGACATCAACCGCGTGTATGGATCCTTCGTCAGGCAGCTAATTCATCAAGGAGCAACCATTCCTCGCTTTCTCCCGAGGCCGTGGAGGAATTATAACAGCCCATCCGACAAACATCATTCAGTTTCATGGAAGAGGTTACTGAATGACCTCTTATTGCAGTTCGAGCATAATTACATTGTTCTCGATGGTCTCGACGAATGCGAAGAATACCTCCAGAATGGAGTTCCCGAGCTTGCGAATTTCGTTAAGGAGATGATGGAACAGACGAAAGGACAACAGCATTTGATTGTGTTCAGCCGAAACTTGGAGCAACTTCGACACGCTTTCGAAGGCCTCAAGGTCTCCACCGTTACAATTGATGACTCAACGGTGAATGTTGATATGCAGACAGCACTACGACACCAGTTCTCGCATCAGGGCAAACTTGCCCGGTGGCCAATATCGTTGAAGAAGATGATTGAAGAGAGCCTCCTGGCCCAAGCCAATGGCTCGTGCGTATTCAGCCTTGACCTACAGAACTGTTGAGTGGCTGACACCTTTTGCAGATTTCGTTGGATGGACTGCCAACTGCAGACACTGCGACGGTGTGCCACACCACAGGCGGTACAAAAAGCTCTCAGAGACCTACCAAAGTCATTAGACGAACACTACACCATGACAATCGACAGAATTGATGAGAGCAACCGCATTGCCATGAAGAACCTTCTACGCTGGGTATCCTTTGCTCTTCGGCCAGTGAGTAGTCATCACGATAGGAAATCAAGAATCATTCCCGCTCTGACGCATTTGCAGCTATCTCTGCATGAGATCACAAGCGCCATAGCTATCAATGTCGATAATGGAGACATTCCTTTCTGTGACGAAAACTTAGAGCCTCTCGACCCAGAAAGCTTCATTGATTCCTGCTCCAGTCTTGTCTCGACTTATTGCCTTGGGGACGAACCGAGTGGCACCCAGTGTGTATATGTCAAGCTAGCCCATTTCACCGTTCGAGAGTTCCTCATTTCTGACGCAATCCTACGAGACTCATGCTCCGACTTCTTCATGGATGCGAGATTGTCTCATGCGGTCCTGGCTAACTGTAGCCTTGCGTACTTTCACCATGCGGTTCAGTCTGCCGCCGGCGACCCCTGGACTTATCCCCTGGCATGCTATGCAGGGCACTTTTGGAACGAGCATAAAAATCGTTCTCAAGGCGCTTGGCAATACCTTGGACTAGAGACTATCTTACTGGATCTCTTTAACGACAATGGGCCCTATTTTGGGCTAGTATGGAGCAAAGTGGCAAAGGTTGACCGACCGTGGCTGCGGGATGAACCGAGCGACACCAATGACTATACAGCATTATATAACTCTTCCTACTGTGGTCTGACACGAGTGGTAAAAGCAATTCTCAACAAGGGTGCGTCGCCAAATGTCTCCGGCGGCTTTTACCACCGTCCATTACAAGCAGCCGCATTCATGGGCCACCTGGAAATAGTTCAGTTACTGGTAGACGCAAAGGCCGAAGTCAATGCAGAAGGGGGTGCGCTAAGTACGGCACTTGGTGCAGCAGCTGCTCAAGGTCATTCAGATGTCGCCATCACGCTGCTAGAAGCTGGTGCCAATGTCAACTTCCCGAATCCACGGACTTTTGGCCGCCGAAGGTCGGATCCTCTATTTCTCGCTGTCGCGAGAGGTCATCTACCTGTCTGTGAGATTCTGCTCAATTACGGAGCTGAGGACTACCACGACATGAAAGGACACCCTGCATCCGCCCTAGTGACAGCAGTTGGTAGTGGTCGTCTTGATATTGTGAAGACATTGCTAAGGTGCGAGCGCATCACAAATGCAAGGAGCATGAAGCACAGAACCACGGCAGTCATTAGGCCCGTCCAATGTGGCATCACCGCCGCCCAGTATCAGGCCGCGGCTGGCGGCCACATCGACATATTGCGCGAGCTGATAGCCTATGGTATTACACCAGACGAAGCATTGAGATACGCAGCTCGTGCGGGTGACGAGAAGCTCGTGCGACAGTATCTAGACGAGGGTGTCAACGTCAATAGCCACGCGCAAGTCTCAGATCACCCAGTAGCTCTCCAATCGGCGATAAAAGGCGGGCATACTGCGCTTGTGCATGTGCTGCTATCTCGCGGAGCAGATCCAAACCTGGAGTCAGGCTTTTTGACGCCCTTGAGAGCTGCGGTGGACGCGGGGAGTTTCGAAATCGCCCAGATCTTAATCAATGCAGGCGCAAGAGTGGATTCCCACCGGGCTCTACAAAGCGCGCTATCTCAGAAGAGAAAGGATCTTATTGATCTCCTCCTGCAGAACGGAGCAGATACGCACCGAAGCTTACGAGATGCTGTTCGGGGCGCCGATCTTTGGGCTTTCCAGTTGCTTATGGGTAAAGGGGCAGATATTCATCGCCAAGAGCTTGCTGATGAGACATCCATATTGGGAGCGGCCGCATGGGGTGGTTCAGTCTCTATCATAACATATTTACTCGACAGCGGACTGCAAGATCAGCTCAATCCGGGGCCTGAAGGCACCCAGCCTCTGCTTGATGCTGTTGCTGCCAGTCGGCCACTCATTGTGGAGCTGCTGATCCAGCGTGGAGCTGATGTCAATGCCTACCCCCAGGCAGCCGACGAGCGCCGCTTCACTGGATCATACCGTTTATATGAGAATCATCGCCGCTGGCCACCTGAACCAATATGTGAAACGGCACTGACACTAGCAATTAAGGCAAACAATCGAGATATGGCTGAACTCCTCATGCGACATGGCGCAATGGTCACACCGAGTTCACCAGACACCGTTGGCACACCTCTTTTGTACGCGGTAAGAGATCAAAATATTGAACTTATCAGTACACTGCTAGATAGAGGTGCCGATCCAAACCAGAGAGGCACAATTGTAGAGGAAGGGAAGCCATCATTTCCCCTCCTCGTTGCAGCAGAGAATGGCAACCCCGATATCATCAACATGCTCTTGAAGGCGGGTTCAAATTTAGATGATCAGGACTCGGAAGGCTTCAGTGCCTTGCATGCTGCGGCTGCCTGTCACATGTCAGACGGACTCAAGTCACTTCTCCATAAACACGGTGCTGACATGAATGCACGGCTCTTGAACGGCAGTCTACCAATCCATTCGGCTGCATCGAGGGGCACCGCGGAGAGTCTTGAGATATTACTTGAAGCTGGTGCGGACATCAACACCACAGACGACAATGGTCGCACGCCCCTTCATTGGGCAGCGGACAGTGGCAACTGGGAGACGATTGAAGCTCTCCTCAACCGGGGAGCCCCGGCAAATGTGAAGCCTCAGGATGACGGAGCCAATACCCCGGTAGACATGGCTTGTTTGGCGAGAGATGAAGCTATTTCGGATTGTAGGACCTTCTCAGAGGACTGGGATGATGAGAGGATAGAGAGGTTGTTGCAGAGACTGAAAGAAGCGTCGGAATGAGTGAGGGCTCGATTATCCGGTGAGATGGTGATAACACCACGAGAACTAGAACGCCCTTCGAGCTCCCTAGAAAATCATGTCAATATCTTATTTTGTCCGTGTATAATATCATAACGGCAAAAAGAGCTTCCGATATGCGGTCTATCAGTTGCAACTCCCACCCGGATACTACGATACATTTCAGTACCCTTTAACAGTTTCCTACAACGACTGTTTACCGCAACATCCACTCCAGTATCATCTCTCGGGCGCAATAACTTCCTTGGCAGTGGTTATTTCAGGGTATTGAAGATTATCGGACCCCTCTTGAAAGGAGCCACTCAAACTCTTGGCGTGTCTGCGGAGGTACGTCTGTGAATGCACCACAATTGAAGGAATAACTGGCGGATGTATGAGCAGCGAAGAAAGAAGTGATAGTTATAAGTAAGGTCTTCAACGGTCATGGTAATAACCAAAAAAGAAAAAAAGAAAATTACATACAACAGAAGGGATTCGCTGGTGGTCACCCACCCAACTACTAACCTCCCGGCGTGTGGCTTGAGTACGGCTGAGCGGACGGGAAGCCCTATTTTCCACACCCTGTGGTCGTATGTGCTTGATGATTAGGGATGGCGTAATATATTGTCAGAAAGTACTAATATAATAAGTAATGCTTCGCTGTCAGCCCTCAGGGACTGGTGCGAGTGAGATTCAGATGTCGTAATCATTCTTCTATAGTTGTATTGGTAGTGCTCTGCTCGAACTTCATTTACTACTATACCTTTCTGGACGTGCATGTTATAATAAAGGCAAATACACTTGGCATACGGTCTACTAATTGATAATCCCACCTAAATACCAGGCACATCTCAATCAGCAGAACATAAATGTCACCACCGCTACCCCCAAGCAGGCAACACCTAGAGTACAAACTATTAGTCCCTGCAAATATAGACAATATCTTCAAGCCATGACCTACCCAGAACAATATTCATATAATAGTATCCCGCACTCTCAAATAGGAACCCAGTAACAACCGGGCCGAGCATCAGACCGACGTTGAACGAGATAGAGACCAGCGCGAAGCACCTTGCACGCCCACCATTAGGGCCGAACAAGGTGGGAGTATCTTTTTCAACTTCCTCTAAGAGGACTACTCATCGTCAGCATTCAACATGCAAATTTCGTTCCTCGCTTATTGAATATAAAATTTGGAATCATGACTTACACCTCATATGAAACGACCCGGCACCTTGAACCGACGACATCACTAAACCGATAGCACATATACATACAATAAAGGCTACTTTATCATCTGTCCGGCTCCCACTAGCCTGGGAGACATCCCTACCAGGTACACCTAAGTAACACATCAACGGGCAAAGAAGAGCCCAACCGATTGCTGTTGGGTATCGAATACCGACACGATCTCGGAGATGGCCAAATAGGGGAGGCAAAAAGATGACTGGGACTTGGAGGGCAAAGAATATCGCCCCGACTGACGATGGGCCCCAGTTAAATGTATCTCGAAGATACACAGGTAGAGTGGCGTTGAATGCTGTCCGGAGTGCGGCTTGGGACATGGTGTTTAGAACGGCTGCCCACATTCCTGCGTCTTGGAGCATTACGGTGTAGTAGTTGCGATATTCTGCGGTTGCAGTGCTGTCGGACTCCGCTTTCGTTGTGATGTCTGGGTCAAATGAAGGTGATTGGGGCAGGAAGGGGGACGATTCGGGGACATCTTGACATATCTTGCTACGGTTGGCAAGACTGATTTGAGATTGCGAATCAAGTAGATGATAGTCAGGCTGAATCATAACGAAGCGTGCAATCATGTCGAGGATCAGCAGAGCCATCGGCAGGGACCAAGCTGGCCAGTATCCGAACCAGCCTAGAAGAACGCCCCCAAACATCGGTCCGCTGACCGTTCCCAACGTTGAAAAAGACATGCTCAGTCCCAACATTGCCCCAGCTCGTGCACTACCCGCGACCTCGGTGAGCATGGTCGTGCACGCGAGCCATGCAGCCGAGGCAGCTACTGCCTGTAGTATCCTGCCCAGGTATAGTACCCATGCTGGAACATCAACACTATTAGCATCAAGAGCAGGAAGTTTACAATATGGCTGGGGTGACGGGTACATGTGGTGGTGATTGCAAACAGCGCAGTTCCAGCCAGACAAAGCACAAGTGCCAAGTATAGTGGGATCTTCTGGTTTGAGATCGTATCGAACAGAGCCGCGCAAGAAGGGGCAGCGAGGATTGCCGCCAGGCCTTGTAAACTGAGTAGGCTGTTGGTGGTGCTAGTGGTTTGGGAGGGATCGTTGTGAAGGCGCTCTTCTAGCATATACGGGAGCATAGGTACGGGGAAACCGGCTAACAGCGATTCTGTTCAAGTGGATGTGAGCCAGTTGTCGGCGGGAGTAAGCAGGTGTGTGTCTTCGTACCAGTAAACATGGCCAGGCACGCAGTGACGATGACGAACTGGCTGGAAGATCTCCATCCCTGGGTAATTGGGCGTTTTGTGGACACATCCATATTGCCTGTAGAGGTCGACAGGCAGGTTTCAGGTCAAGGCATCCCATTTCTTTTGAGATTATGGACGAGACGTAGACGTTATGTTGATTGAGTTGACTCAGGGTGGGTGCGCGCCACAATCCACGCAGAGGAATGCAGGGCACCCATGATCAATGTGCCTTGCGATGATCGGCGGGCGCAGGAACAACATTGCGCGTGAGATCACCCAAAGTCAGGAGGGGTCGGAGTATCTATTTGTACTCGGCCTGGCCACTTAATCGCAATGATTCCGGTCGATGGGTGGGGAAGACAGTGTGTATTATTGTTTCTTATTTGTTTTGCCTAAAGTTCCTGTCCAGATTCGGCCAAGTTTGTGTCTGTTCAATGACCAGCATCCAAGCTGGAGAGCAAGCACCAATCATGTTGAGCGGGAAAGCAGTGCTGCAATTTGAATACCACGTGGACACTGAAGAAGTCTGGCAGGAAATAGAATCTCGGGACTCGGGTAGATGGAAATAATACTACTGCTTAGCCCTTCGCGTCGCTTCTACTAGGTACGGAAATGTCTCGATAATAAAATTGTCGTATTAATTCAAATGACCATCTAGGTCAGGGTATCCAAATAAAACCATATCGCCAATCAAATCAAACAGATTAGAAAACAAGATTAAACACTCGAGGGCTCGCCCTTCGTGTACTGCGTGCTCTCCCTCGATGTCATCACCTCCTCGCTTCGTCGGTAATCACCCCGTGCCTCCAGAATCGCCGCCTCCTCCTCTGGGTCCTCCGGGAGGATCAGGTTGAGGATCAGCCCGATCAGAGCGGTGATGGCGAACCCGTTCTCCATCACCAGATCAATAGCATCCAGCAATCCTGTCAAGCCACGGTTGTTACCGCTGTAGGTAAAGACGTAGTCGAACCAGTCGGATACCAGGGTGGCGCCCATACCAACTGCAAACGAAGCGGTCAGGATGAATCGGTTGCGACGAGTGAATGGAACATTGGTGATAATGCGAACACCGGAAATTGCCACAGAGGAGAAGAGGAACGTCGTCATGCCACCAAGAACACTATCGGGAATGGCAACCAGTGCCGCGGCAAATTTGGCGAAGATTCCCATGATGATCAGGAAGAAGCAGCAGCAGTAACCAGCTGTGCGGTTGGCGCACTTGGTCAGCGCGATGACACCGTTGTTCTGGGCAAACACCGACATCGGCGTCATGGTCATGAGGCCGGCCAGCACACTGGTGAGACCGTTACCAAGAACACCACCCTGAATACGCGAGTCGAAGGTGGGGCCTTCAACTTCGACCTGGGATACGTCGCAAGTAGCGGTAATGTCACCAATCGATTCCATCATGACCACAATGTACACTGCCAGCAGTGGAAGGATCATGGGCGGGTAGATGGTCAGCGGGAATGTCTTCACCCAGATAAAGGAGGCCACCGGCGCAGCATCAATACCCGATCGATCGAAGTATCCGCAGGCAGCCGCCACGATACATCCTATCAACAATCCCACCACGACCGAGCAGGATCGCATGATAGGCGCACCAAACCGCTCACAGAGAATGATCGATACATACACCAGAAATCCGAGACCGATAAACTCCGCACTTCCCCAAGGCAGAGCATGCGGTGCGTCCGCGCTAGGACACAAGGCACCGTTTCCGGGGTTCTCAGAACAGGTTCCAGAGCCACCTGCCCAGTCCTGGAAAGCAGACTCGATAAGACTGGCTCCGATCAGGAGAACAGTAGGACCAGTGACAAGGGGAGGAAAGACGCGTCTCAGAATTTTAGGGCTCATGAAGGAAAGGCCAATCTCGAGAAGCGCACACAAGCACGATGTTCCCAGTAGAGCACCATAACCTTTAGGGCAGGGCAACTTGGTTCCATCCTCAGCGGTCGGGCAGTATCCACTGGAGTACATTTGTTCAAAACCACCAGTTGCGACGGTGATTGTAGCAAAGGAGATTCCCACCACTGAAGTCAAGCCAGTACCAATGTAGTATTTCGTTCCGTAGATGTGAAAACGGAACATCTGAATGGCGGACAAGATACCAGAAGCGATGAGGGACGTTGAGACGAGGTATTGGTAGTCTTCTGTTCCGAAGTTGGCACCAGATGTGCCTCCGATCAAGATAGGAGGTGAAATAACTGACGAGTCAGCACTAGTCAGGATTCAGAGAGGATCTAACTCACTGCCACCCAGCATTGCCAGTGCATGTTGTAGTCCAAGCAGCATAGCCAATACGATAGGTACATTGTCTTCGAGCCCGAAGAATGGTGCAGAGCTTCTTTTCTTTGTGATGAAGGGGATATTCGGAGTGAACAAATAGGCGTAATCATAGTCTCCAATGAGGCCCTCTCTGCAACGTATTAGCGCGTCTACTGGTTAACGAGGTTTCATGACCAACCTTGTGGTGAAAGTTTTGACCAAGCGGCGGCCGACGTCATTCCAAGTCCGCTTAGGCCGGTAGTCCGGGCCTATCTGGTCAGGACCGTCCATTATGCGAGGCAGTCTAATGTGTAAAAGATGTTGATGTAGAAGTGTAGATGAAACTCGAGTTGCGGACGAATGGAAGATATCTCGAGGATGAAATCTGGACCCAGATGAAGTAGTCCGAGTGGAGTGAGGGGTCGATTCTTAGCAATGGCTAGTTGGATCTGGGGAATAGACTAAGACCATTCCAAACATCGACGGGCGAGGTGTCTATATACATGAACCATCTTCCGTGAGCTCGAAGATGAATCGGGATGATTGAAGCTCGGACCGGCGGGGATGATACAGCTATCAGTGGCGAAGGTGATGGATGAATCAATCGAATAATGGTAGGCAGTGGTTATCTCTGGGCACCGGCGTGGCAGACACGCGAGCTAATTTCCAAGCGAGCTGCAACCTGCAGCAGACCGGGGCAGCGCTAGCGATGACTGGTTCCTCTGGCGATTACGCTGTTCTCGTCCAGGCTTCAACTGTGGGCCCTCCGATAAGAACGGACGGCTGACACGCTGCCCTCATGTAACCTCCCCGGCCGCTTATCAGTCCCCAGATCGGGTTCCGCCGAAATCCATCTCTTGCGTCTCCCCCTGATAGCCGGTGGCCGATGGGTCTTGCACTGACGAACCCGATGAGGCCGGAGTAGAACTCATCCAGAACGTGGGAGGACTGGGGGGGAGATGATCGGACTGATATAAGCTAAAGGCAGACGTGCATAAGGGGAGAATTGAAGGGCCGACGATGCTTCTTTCGCCGGGTTGCAGTCCGGGGAACACCAACCCCAATGCGGCAATCCATTAGTCATAGATTCAATCAGGCCCAACTTTATCGTAACCTTGACTGCTGCCCGTGACTAACAGCGTAGCAGTAGTCTATATTGTACCTGTAGAACTGTGAAGAGCATATATCCTAGATAGTATGGATGTAAAGACGAATTGGACGATAAATTTGATGATGGTGTCTTCAGATAATATGAGCATCAAAACCTTTCCATCTTGTCTCCACGGTAGGAATGTGGAAAAATGTAGGGCCTGCGTTCGCTTTAGAACAATGGAGGATTGAATCCTTCGCATCTTTTTGTGTCTTGCATGATCTTATAATATATACTTTATATGAATGTAACTCTACTATCACTGTCAAGGTGTACTATTTGTTTTGACTAATAGCTCTTACTAGTAGTATGTGAGGCTGATTGCGATGACTGTAGCTAATAACTGTATATGAACGCTTTCAACCGTCTCCTAGACTCTTCTAGGACAAGCCACGATGCACTGAATGCACGCTATACAGCTAGCTCGATAGTTCGTAGTAATTGCTAGCCTGGTGGAATTCTTTGACACATCAGACTCCATAATCTGTGGAGCAAGTTCATGGCCGTTGCTATAACTATCCTGACCCTTTCGCTAAGAGCTGTCACATAATTGTCGGATCCGGTTTTCCCTTAAAGTCCTGATTCCATGTTGCTGACTAGTTGGTATTAGCATACTTTCTCATTACCTTTGTTGAGATATAATATAAATATATATATATATATATATATTTGTACATGTTTGACAAACACGTTATTATGACCTCTCAATATTAGTTTGGTTCAATTTTCCTGAGTATCAAGGTCGATGGTCAACAAAATGGTTTGGACTCGTGTTTATAAATTATGCACAGATGCAAATTCAGATCTAACAGTCAATAGATAGTATTTGTACAGCGTGGACGCTATGATTATTATCATTTCAAGGAAAATAACAAAGTTCGAACGGTTATGCCTTTCCCACAGATGTCCTTCTTTCTTTCATCAAGAATGTAGATCTAGATTGAACGTCATGCTTATGTTCTAATTAATATTTGAATCACATATATCCTATAATTCATGATGAGGTTGAAGTATATCATTAATACAAGTCCCGAATCGACTAAATAGGTATACACTAGTCATATAAATGAACCAGCATACCCACCCACCCCTGGAGTTGCCGAACGAAACGTTGAATTGAATCTGTCTCATTTACTTTCCAGCGGGGAGAGAATCCAGCATTATATGCCCCATCCATCAGGAAGTAAACCTCGATGTCCAGTGCACACCCCCCCCCCCCCTCCTCCACTCATCACATCTCAGCATAAACCCCCCGGCATACGGAAATACCCATACTCCGCAACTATCAAGCGCAACCTTAAATAGTCTACTGGTATGTTCAGTGACAAATACCTCTACTAACACCCTTACTATGAATCGATAATAACTATTCTCCGTTTCTCGGAACCTAACTCTCCGACACGATCCTCGATCGGCAAAGAGGCTGAGCATTGTCTAGTTCTATCTGGCCGTGGGGAAACGAAAGGGGCTAGAGCTACTAGTGGAGCCGGTCCGTCAGTCCGAACCACGTATTTTTGGCCACTGCCAACCTCGGATCGGCAAGGGCCGGGAGAGGGGAGGCTTTTGATGCTACGTTGCGGGTGATTTCGGAGGGGAGGTGTGTAGAGTTAATGTGAGTGAGATGAGTGAGTAATGGGGTTGGATAATAGGTGGGTGCATATTTTCATGGTTTGAGGATTTGTCATGGGGATGTGAGGTTTATGAAGGGTTGGAAGCTGTATATTGGACTATGGGATGTAGTGCTTCTGGTCCTATAGTTATCTGCGACATTTTTTCTGAAGTGTGTATGCAGAGGTAGACTTGGAATAGTCGACCAGTCATCTTCTGGAGAGCTGTGATGCAATGCTAGACTAATAACTATTGTGTTCAGTCATTGGTGCAATATCTATAATATTGGACTGCCCGTGAGATTATAGTACAGGTTCTAAGTTTAGTATTCGAACAAATACTAGATCATTGCTCTTGAGCTTGATAGACGTGGAAGAATGGAGTAGTGATTGTATATTAGTACTATTATGTGTCATATAATCATGGAACAAATACTAGTACTAGCAGTCATAAATGTAGTAAGAAGTAGACACGGCGTTCAGCGATCGAAGTATTGGTAGTTGGTTTGTACATATGGAAAATGGCATATTATATATTCCGTTTATGTTGGTCGAACAACTGAGTAGTAGGGGTCGAAATGTACCCGGTATGCACTGCAACTACATTTTTTGCCCCTCAAGGCCCCTGAGCAGAATTAGCATTGCTCCTACGGAGTACTGTCATGTGCCACTGGCGAGGGGATTGAATCTAGCAGTTTGAAGCTGCCAGATAGAAATGATCGGTGATCTACCTCACTATTTGGGATGTCTTTGCATACTAGTCCATATATCCAACTGGAGTACACCCACATCAATTGAACATTATGTGACGATCAATAAACTATGTTGATCATCAATGCCTACTAATTGATCACCATGCTTATGGTGTGGTTCTAATGAGTCGTGAAATAGTATTTTGCTCTCACCGTCTCAAATAAATACCTCGGTCTATCCATACTCCGGACCGAGTGAAGCGCAAGAGATCTACAGACTCAAGTCTAGGAAAAGCAACAGCCAAATCTCACGCAATGCGCTGTTTAACAACCTGTTGGACAAATCAAAGACTTTCCCAATTATTGATGATTTTATTGGCGGTTAGTGAAAAATGATCTCAAATTTTGCTCAAACCATAGGGTGTGGACGAGATCTGTCCCAACCAGATGAAAGTGGCACGACGTGTTCAACGGAGCTGTAATGGCCCCGGTCCATAACTTTGATTCAATGCCACTGGGGCCATCTGATAACGTGGGGATCCAGTGAAATCGATCCCTTGTCTGGGGAATGATTTCAAGACTTGCGGTGTGTGGGACGCCTTGCTTGGATGGGTTGGCATGTCCCAACCGAGCTTGGATCATGTGGTTGCCTGAGGCGATAAGAGTCAAGGCGAGGAATGTCACATGTGTCACGTGGTGGACAGTTGTCAAATGATGTGAAAGTAAAAGTGTTGGGGGAGAATGCATGCCTGAATCATGTGGCGACGATCATCAGATTTTCTACGGACTTTGAAGAGCATCAACGGAGCACCCGGGAAGAGGTTGTGCCGAGGAGCTTGCGGCTCGCAGTCATGCCAAAACTGAATTTGGCGTTTCAAACTCGGCCGGTGGCAATAATGTCCACTCATAGGGCTGCCTTCAACGGAAAAGTCTGAGCTGAGTGGACCAATGAGTGATCCAAGACATGCTGATTATAGCACTAGATTGCGTTAGTGTGGCCACCGCATAAGCAAAGACTTCAATGTTTCAATGCTCCAGAATTAGGATCAGCTCAGAAAGAGATGGGGACAATTGCTCAACTCTTGTTAGACGGAGTTGTGCCACTCCGTGCAGGCGATACTTTGATGCGGAAAAAGAAACCGTCCCGAAATCCAAATCGGGATGGAGAGCCACGGGTCAAGCCACCCGAGGCATGACACCAGCCACACAGAGCGATCAAGGGGCAAAAAACGTTGGGGATTCAACGAATGGTTGAACCATCGTGATTGGTGGACCACTCCCGGCCTTACCCAGAATGGCAGTTTCTGGCCGGGCGGCACCATCGAATCAGAAGTGGCCCAACAAGCTTAGTTGGATGAACAGGCGGCGCTGTATGGTTGGAGATACTCCGGCCATTTGCCATCGCGGATACACTCTGCGATCCGGACACCTTCCAGACGTGCCTGGATAGTAGTATTGATCCTCTTCCCTCTCCTTCCTTGTGTCTGTTGAAACCCGTCGACCACTTTGGGACCTCGGGATCTTATGATTACTTCACTGATCTACCAGTGAGCTTGCCGTCAGGCCACCCTTCTTTACTTATTCCACGCGCGTGTCCTCATAGTCGCATCATTATTATTGATTGTCCGCCTTGCTTTTCCCCAACCATCATCCGCCGGTGGACCCTGGTAGAGTTCAACTGCCTCCGAATTTTCCCTCCTTCACTGGCTCAGATCTGCCGCTTACTTCTTCGGCCTTTCGATTGCATTCCCCACCCTTTTTCTCCGTCTCTTTTTTATCGCTCGCCTCTGGCCCTTTCCTTTAAACCCACCCTCTCCCGCACGCATCCTTCTCCTCCTCATCCGAACCATACTGCAGGGGTCGACATACACACGAAGGACATCACCATGTCTGCTAAGCCAGCAGACGCCTCCCGGCCTCGCGCCGCTGACCCCAAGAAGGTCCACATTGCCGACACTGTCATGACACGCGGCAACTGGTACAAGCATGTCAACTGGCTGAACGTCTTCCTCATCATCGGTATCCCCGTGTACGGCTGTGTCCAGGCCCTTTGGGTGCCCTTGCAGGTCAAGACTGCTATCTGGGCCGTCATCTATTACTTCTTCACTGGTCTCGGTATCACCGCAGGTTAGTTTGCCCCATTGAAAGGTAACACTGATAAGACATACTGACAAAATTTGCCACCAGGATACCATCGTCTCTGGGCTCACTGCTCCTACTCTGCTCGTCTTCCTCTCCGTATCTGGCTCGCCGCCGTTGGTGGTGGTGCCGTCGAAGGTTCCATCCGCTGGTGGGCGCGTGATCACCGGGCTCACCACCGTTATACCGATACCGACAAGGACCCCTACTCCGTCCGCAAGGGTCTGCTCTACTCTCACCTGGGATGGATGGTCATGAAGCAGAACCCCAAGCGTATCGGCCGCACCGATATCTCCGATCTCAACGAAGACCCTGTTGTCGTCTGGCAGCACCGCAACTACCTCAAGGTCGTTTTCACCATGGGTCTGATTGTTCCCATGCTCGTGTCCGGTCTTGGCTGGGGTGACTGGTGGGGTGGTTTCGTCTACGCTGGTATCCTGCGTATCTTCTTCGTCCAGCAGGCCACTTTCTGCGTCAACTCTCTGGCCCACTGGCTCGGTGACCAGCCTTTCGACGACCGCAACTCTCCCCGTGACCACGTCATCACTGCTCTTGTCACTCTCGGCGAGGGATACCACAACTTCCACCACGAGTTCCCCTCCGACTACCGTAACGCTATCGAGTGGCACCAGTACGACCCGACCAAGTGGAGCATCTGGGCCTGGAAGCAGCTTGGTCTGGCTTACGACCTGAAGAAGTTTCGTGCCAACGAGATCGAGAAGGGTCGTGTCCAGCAGCTCCAGAAGAAGCTTGACCAGAAGCGTTCCCGTCTCGACTGGGGTACCCCTCTCGACCAGCTGCCCGTTATGGAATGGGACGACTATGTCGAGCAGGCTAAGAACGGCCGTGGTCTCGTTGCTATTGCCGGTGTTGTTCACGATGTGACCGACTTCATCAAGGACCACCCTGGTGGCAAGGCCATGATCAACTCTGGTATTGGCAAGGACGCTACTGCCATGTTCAACGGTGGTGTGTACTACCACTCCAACGCTGCCCACAACCTTCTCTCGACCATGCGTGTGGGTGTGATCCGCGGTGGCTGTGAGGTTGAGATCTGGAAGCGGGCCCAGAAGGAGGGCGCCGGTTATGTTCGTGACGATGCCGGCCAGCGGGTGATCCGGGCTGGTGAGCAGGTCACCAAGATCCCCGAGCCCATCCCCACCGCCGACGCTGCGTGAGCGGCGCGATGTCCATGACCCTTTCGCCTTATATTCTGATGTACCATTTGCGAATACGCTGTGTTTCCCACTCCGACGATCCTTCGTCTTTTAATTTAGCACTCGGGGCGTTCATTCTTTCGTGTGTATGGCGTTGTTGGAGTTGGCCTAATTTTTATGTCGACAGAGCGAGTTTGAGTCGACGCGGGTTTACCTATTTCATTTGAAAAAAAGCGACGAGATGTGACGAGGAACATCGATTGTTGAAATCCTGCATAGAATCCAGATATCCAAAGTGTGATCACATATTTATGAACAGTTGCCTGTAGGACCTTTAAGCTCTTGTAGCTACGTAATAGATCTGTAGAAGTGGACATAGACACCCTGGACCCGGCAGACGTAAAGTGGATCGGGATGTCAAAAGGGCCATAGCTTCGTCATGAGAACATGACGGAAAGATCGAAGAATAGGGAACCAGACAGGAGGAAGTGTGGAGTCCAAACAAAGAGAAAAGAGAAGACGGGGGAGAGATTAGTTAGTGGTGGAGGAGAGGGAAAACACATGATCGGCCAGACTGCAGGCTCCGCCGGGACCAGCTCAGCTGCACTTCTGCATCACCAAACAGCTCCTGTCCACTGTCGAGCCACGTATTGATCCGCTTCTTCCATTGCAGTAGCTTGCTTAGCACCCCGCCTTTCACCACCTGTGCCCCTCTTACCGTCACCATTCGCTCCCCTCTCCATTCCACCTTTTATCTACCCGCCTTCCTCGTCCTGCTCTTGGGCGTTCTCCTCGTCACCGTGGCTCCCCCGCTTCGCCTTTCCTCTCCCGCCTTCAGACTTTCCTCGGTCTTGGGCCATTTCCGCGGCTCTCGACTTCCTTCAACCTCCCATTCAGCTTTGACAAACCTTCGCAAATCCCTCACAACTGCCAGCATGGCCCCCAAACACCTCCGCCGCCCTCCTCAGGCTCCCCCCGTCTTCACCGCAACTGCTCAATCCATTGTCGATGACGCCAAGCGACTCATTGAAGCCTCCCGCAAAGTTCAGGATGACGTCGTGGCTACCGTCAAGCCGGACACGGCTACCTTCAACGCTGTCGTGAAGCCCTTGGCCCAGGATGAGAACGTCATGTCCCTCGAATCGCACATTCTCGGCTTCTACCAGGCCGTGTCCACCCAACAAGAGCTGCGGGATGCGTCGTCCAAGGCGGAGGAGCTGATGGATGAGTTCTTCATTGAAGCTGCCATGCGCGAGGATGTGTTCCAGCTCGTCGACGCCGTGCTTAAGAAGAACGAGTCCCTTGACCCCGAATCTCGCCGTCTGTTGGAGAAGGAACACAAGGATTTCATCCGCAATGGCTTGGGTCTTCCGGCTGGACCCAAGCGTGACCGATTCAAGGAGATCAAGAAGCGTCTCAGTCAGATCAGCATTGAGTTCCAGAAGAACTTGAACGAGGAGAACGAAGGACTCTGGTTCACCCGCGAAGAGCTCGACGGTGTTCCCGAGGATGTCCTGGCTGGGTTGAAGAAGGGTGAGGGTGAGCACGAGGGCAAGCTCTGGCTGACCTTCAAGTACCCCGACCTCTTCCCGACGATGAAGTACGCCAAGAACCCCGAGACCCGTAAGCAGGTCATGATCCAGAACGAGAACAAGTGCAACCAGAACGTGCCTCTTTTCCGTGAGGCCATTATCCTGCGTGATGAGGCCGCTCGTCTGCTCGGTTACCCCAACCACGCGGCATTCCGCATTGAGGACAAGATGGCCAAGACCCCGGAGACGGTCAACACCTTCCTGGGTGACCTGCGGTCTCGTTTGACGGCCGGTGGGCAGAAGGAGATTAAGAGCCTGCTCGAATTCAAGAAGTCCGACTTGGAGTCCCGTGGAGAGAAGTTCGATGGCCACTACTACCTGTGGGACCACAGATTCTACGACCGTCTTATGCTGGAGAAGGACTACTCCCTGGACCAGCAGCTCATTGCCGAGTACTTCCCTCTTCAGACCACCATCGAGGGCATGCTGAAGATCTTTGAAGAGCTTTTCGGTCTTGTCTTTGTGGAGATCACTGGTGAGGACCGGGAGAAGGTGGCTCCCACCGGTAAGGGCAGCGACATTGTCTGGCATGAGGACGTCCAGATCTTCAGTGTCTGGAACGATGAGGGTGAGGGCAGCGGCTTCGTCGGCTATCTGTACTTGGATCTTTTCCCCCGGACTGGCAAGTACGGTCACGCTGCCAACTTCAACTTGCAGCCGGTAGGCACCCTACAAAGCACAAAACAATAACATTTACTGACATCTATAGGGTTTCATCGACGCCGAGGGCAACCGCCGCTACCCGGCTACTGCGCTGGTGTGCAACTTCACCAAGCCGACTCCCAAGAAGCCCAGCTTGCTCAAGCACGACGAAGTCGTGACTCTCTTCCACGAACTCGGCCACGGCATCCACGACCTCGTCGCCAAGACGATCTACTCCCGTTTCCACGGCACCAACACCGTCCGGGACTTCGTCGAAGCACCCAGTCAGATGCTCGAGAACTGGTGCTGGACCCCATCCCAGCTCAAGTCCCTCAGCAAGCACTACTCCACTCTCTCTCCTGACTACCTCGCCGCCTGGAAGGAGCAAGCCGGTAGCCAGGAAGCCCCCTCGGAGCAGATCCCTGACTCCGTTATCGAGAACCTCATCCGCACCAAGCACGTCAACGATGCCCTGTTCAACCTTCGCCAGCTGCACTTTGGTATCTTCGACATGACCGTCCACCAGCCCGAGAGCCACGAGAAGATCAAGGAGCTTCCTATCTCGGCTACATACAACTCCCTGCGCAAGCAGATCACACAGATGGAGGGCCCGGAGAGCCTTGGCCTGGGCGAGGAATGGGGCCATGGTGAGGCCACCTTTGGTCACTTGATCGGGGGCTATGATGCTGGTTATTATGGTTACCTGAGGTATGTCTATCCCACATTCGGCGTCACCATTATATGACAAGTACTAACACTCATAACAGCTCGCAAGTCTACTCTACCGACATGTTCTACACCGTCTTCAAGGACGACCCCATGAACCCGACTGCTGGCCGTCGCTACCGGTACAAGGTGCTTGAGAAGGGAGGTAGCCAGGATGAGATGACGACATTGACGGAGTTCTTGGGCCGTGAGCCCAAGACTGACGCCTTCTACAAGGATATGGGATTGGCTTAGACTTGGGAGGATGATGAAACCGGCTGACTTGGATAATAGTAAAGGGCTGGATAAAACAACTGTTGTAGATGATAATGTTGGAGCTAGTCATTGACTACTTCGAATGAGAAATCTGAATATATACATATGATTTTCAAACCAATCAGACGCCATCGAGTGAATAATCATCCTCTTCATACTGCAGCAAAGCCACTGCACGACGTGAAGTAGTAATTCCGCCCCAGGCCAATCATCGGCAGGTAATCTTCCACCAACCAACCACCAAGACACCCACTTCCTAACTTCCAAGCACACAAAACACCGACAATCCACATATCTATATATCTATCTTCCCTCCTATAATACCCTCCAAAACCATATCAATCCCCAGCAACAGCAGCACCATTGTATTATGACGGCCATCAACAAGATAACTAACCAACCACCACCGCAGCAGTCCGTTCAGATCTCAAAGATTTCTTCTTTTGTGCAGCTTGTATAGATAGTACATGAGTTCGGAAATGGATGTTCCAGAACCCTCCATACAAAGCCTTGTTTTGTTGTCGTTATGCAACAAATACAGACACCAACCAGGGCGGACGGGCAGGGCGTCAGAGAAGCCGTGATTGGTATCAGTAGCAGCCACTTGAAGTAGACGATGATAGCGATACGCCATATTGAAGGGGTTTCTTATCATTCCCGAATTGCATAATGCCTTTGTAAGACAGATTGGGGTAAGTAATGACGGCAGGTTTATTCTTCTCGCGCCATCATGTATGTTCCTCGCAAATCGAACCGAGCCACATCACGCCGAGAAGAGAAACACTAATATCATCACGAGATATCAGCCAGAGCACTACCTCCATATCCATCTTGACCATCTCAAATTGGTATATTCAAAAGCGAATTCGAGCGATGCATTGGCGACGTTGCTTTCCTTCTCGCTGATTTGTACAATCTCTGCATTGCTTGCTAGATGGTAAACAAGCGGATCAGTTCTTGCACATGATCACTGTTTTCTTTGTATGCTATGTATATAGAGACGAATGAGCCACCCCTTTCGGTTTATGTAACTTGTACCTCGGCAGTAAGACTGTTCTGCAACGACGTTGTGAGCTTGATGTCGCCTCGGTATCGGTGCTGTTCAGACGGTGGTAGTGGTAAGTTCCTCCTTCATCATAGAATATATATCGAAGACAAGTGAATGGTTGTAATGTGTCATTTTCTGCGACGAGCGTATAGTGTGTAGGCATTTTGTATTTGAAACCATCAAAGCATCACTGCTCGCTTAGAGGGTAGTATTCTTTCTTTCTTTCATCAGTGATTATATACCGAGGACAACAGAATTGAGTTGTAGTTCAACCTGGATTGAAAGAGGGAAACAAGCAGGAGATGAGGCAAGAAATCTCCAATCATAGGAGTTTTCACTCTCCCGTTGTGACTTTGTTCAACAAAAGCTTCCAGTAGAGGTCTGTCAGCTTAGGGTAGTCAATTTTGCGGTGATACAGCCCTTTCCACAGCCGCTCTGCAGATACGCCTGGATCCAGTACATGTTCAGCGCCTCCTGCATTGTTTCGACGTCGATCACACCCAGTCCCCCTTCTGCAAGTGGCCTCATCGCCTGAACATTCCCAATTAGCCGGGTCGCGGGTCCCAGATATATTTCCACAGAACCTTCTGGATATGCATGAGCTCCTGACCGTCACCGGTAAGCAACGGATGTAGAACCACAGCTGGGTTTGTAGGCACGGGCCCAAGGAAAGGGAAATTGGTCCGTTACGCGCGGGACACGGCTTCGTAGCCTTCTCGGGGCTATGCGATAAGTGTACGAGAGACCTCAAAGAGAGCTTCAAATCGGAAAGAGTGGAAGTTAGTAACTTTCATGGAGTTGGAAGCAACAGAGGGTTACCTGCTTCCGAATTGACAAATGGTGATTTGGAACTTTTTGCGTCTTCTTGCCTGCTTCCGTAGGTCTGGACGTTGAGTCTGGCTTGTATATTCTTTGTCTGCTTGATCTTGTCAATGATGGTTCCCGCTTCGAGAAGTTGTAGGTTTATTTTGTTCAAGGAGGGTTATCTTTGGACTGCCCTGTTGTAGAGAGTAGCAGGTTCGGTTCGTCTGAAAGCTTTTGTGTATGGTAGTAGAACTCGAAATTCTTTCTTACATGATATTTTTCCCAATCGTGCGTCTTTTTCTTTCATGATGTCCAGAGAGAGTATTGAAAAAGATGGTACTATGACGCCAGACCCAGAAGACATGGATCACCAGGATCAACAAGATGATGTTGATGTTGATATTGATATTGATGCCCAATGTCGAGGTATCTCTTCGGCTGTAGTTAGACACTTCTTCTTGCGTCAGGCGTTCTAGTTGGACTTTTGGTGTGTAGCGCAGCTTCTCTCTTAGGCTGTAATGAGCAGAATTGTTGTAAGCCATCCTCTTCGAGTTAATCTCCGCGACTAACGCCTTGTAGTGGGCATGGGCGTCTATAAGGTCCTGAGGCCATGGATCCTTTCTGTATGCTTCTGAGTCCACAGTCTCAACCCATGCTTCTAGGGCCGAAATGGTGGACCCGTTTTCTTGCATCTCATACAACATCTCTCGGATCATGATATGGAGCGTGTTCAGAGGTCTAGGAACCTCAGGCTCGGAATCCGAGTCTGAGAGCGACATATTCAAATGGGGCATATTATCACTCGAAACAAAGAATAATTGGCCATCTCATTTCCGTGTGCCCTGCTCGTATGGAGGAACAAAACGGATTGATGGATGGCAGGGAAAGGTAATAGTGTCAATTGAGACTGATGATTCGTAACCGTCTCTGGTATGGACGCCAACTAGTCTATACCGACACCGTATCTCGAGCCCCCGCACAATGGTCTGACACTTCTCCTCAACCATACTTCTATTAGTCACGAGTAAATGGAGTCTAGCATCATCAACAACGCCAAACAGGGCAAGGTTTGCCAAGGTCATGGAACAGATATCCTGATCTGAATCAGCCAGAGTAACTCGACCCATGATCTTCTCCTTTCCTGACAGTCTCTGTGTCTTGGTAGGTGTAGTATATATATAACCTCCGGACCAGCAAGCAGACCCTATTCTGCTCCAGTAATTCTTTCACACGCCATTCAAGGTGTCTTCACATACATATGAAAGCCTTAACTGGCATCATGTCGAGACTTGAAAATAGCCTGTCGTGCTCACCAGATCCGGGTTCCTGGTGGGAAATGTCAAAGTGCACCGAGTCTGTACCGCTGATGGGTGAAAACAAGGGACCAAGATGCGAGTAAACATCTCCTCTGCGTACTCATCTTCAGTAGGACCACAGTCCGGAGGGGGCCTGTCGAGTTCATTGGATGTCGTGCCACTTCGTCAATGCTGTTTATTCCGAAGAGCCAGCCCCAAATCATGGACATTCACTGTTGTGTATTCGACAAGATCAGATATACTCGGCTAAGCAACGCGGCATTCGATGCTAAGGCAGTACATTTCTTTCAGACAGTATCAATATCATCGATAGCTCAAGCCAGTCATGCGACGCAGCCTAAGATGTACCAGCCACTAGCCTCCGCTTGATGTAAAACTGCCCGGACTTCAGAGAAGATTGTTGTACTTATAATGCTCAATACTCCCATTTGTCGAGAGTGGGTATTCTCCCACAATCACTTGTTCTCCAGCTCTTGATATAAGATAGCAACTAACTGCAGCAAGCCAACCGGAGAGGATGGTGTCTGAATAACAGCGACTCAGTATATAAGCTCTCGAGGGGCTATTCCTTGATACCAGAACGGCGCACATTGCACAAGTGATCTGAAGGTTAGGGCAACAAAGGATACGGGAGCCACAGGATTCAAGAGACCCGCATCTGCCATCACAATAGTCCGTCTCCCTGCCTTTTTATCTTATGTTTATTCTCTATGCTGACGTTCTTCAGAACAGGCCATCGCATGTGCAGAAGCACACCCACACCCAATCTTTGAGGGCATCATATTGTAGCGAGGCGAATGGTAGTGCAAATCGCATGTCGATACAGCGTCAGCTGTGGTATGGAAAGAAAAGATATCACGATCCACCCGCTCCTTAAAAGGCATCGCTCTGATGTCCTGTCTGCACCTTGAAAAGGATGTTTGAAAAAGGGGTAGCTGGACTGTGTTGCTGACGGAATGGAGTATTCTGGGATGAGCTTGTACTCTCGCGAGAACAAAAGCATTTTTCGAGAAGAAAAGCATCTCGTGGTGTTGCAGGGGCTTTCCCTCAAGGTCGGGGAATCGTGTGGAAGTACTCAAGCATGGCTCGGGCGTCTCGCGTGACGAGCATGGATGAAAGAAGTCATTGAAAAGTGATGTTTGAGGAGGTAGTGGATAAGCTGGGTGGTAGCAAAATAACAGCTTGTTGTAGGAGAGACATTTGTAGCATGTTTTCTTTCAGTCATGGGGTCTGGGAAAGGTATCTCAGGGAGCCTCTCAACGACTGAACTCGCCGAGTTTCACACTGCCCTGGAGCTTCCCACCGCAACCACTAGTAGTTCCTCTTCGATTCTATTTTGTGGCTCCTCCTATTCCTGGCTTTTGTGTAGAGGCGTCATGTTCTCTACCCATGACATTTCTCCGGCTAGCCACGACGATTGTAGATGGGTCGGTTCGTTAGGCATTTCTTGCCATGCAAGATTGAGGCTCCGATTATCGACAGAGCAGTCAAATAGCTCCGCCCTCTTATTCTCTGTCTGCCTCTTTTGGCCTGGTAAGGGTCTATATATCCGTATTTCACTTTGCAGACCCCATGGCGTGTCAGTTTACGGCAAATAGCACCCACAAGTATTCGTACCTTCTTCGGTACTAGTTGCCACAGGCAGTCATTTCCCCAAGATAGCTTTATATTTATCAAGCAACATTTAGATACCGCGTACGTGGCCTCTGAGAAAGAAAGGGTTGATGCTATCAGGGATGTGTATGCGATCAATGTCCAGACCAAACCGGGCCAGAGCACCACCATCGTCGGTCATTTCGCTATCATTCGTCAACTCATTGATAGCTTTATATACCAACAACTCCAAAGGAAAACATTGAAGAACAGTGCGATGTGCCGCAGCTCCGCCTCTCCACCCAGCACAGACCCATATGTCCATCGAAGGTCAGTTCTCTGGTCACAGGCACCTGCATGTCTCTCTTAAGTCATCTTCGGTTCACATGGTGGAAATATTCCGTTGATGAGACGGCATCGAGACGACTGATGCAGCGACACGCCAGGAACAGTGATTGAGCTCAAGCCGAAGAACCTTGAATTGGACAGAGCAGAGCCAAGAGTCATTGCGGATCACCGTGACAATTGGACACTGTCCACGAAGCCACAGTGTCATTGATATGGGAATGGGCCGCTTTCTTTTTCGCCATCTTTCGTGTCGCGAAATTATGGTAATGAATTGTGTATTATATAGGTTGTTTATAGTGTTGAGGGGGCGAACGCCCCCTCTGTTGCTTGGTGATGGTTTATATATTAGAGACTCTGATCAGACTGTGTTTGCTGATGATGAAAGAAAGACTGGATTAGTAGCAGGGCCGTGGCTGTTTATATATGAGTGGGTGGGCCTTGAGCTACTAGTCCATGGGAGGAAATTCCCTGCATACAGCAGGGTAAATCCATAAGAGATCGGGACTTACCATAGTTCTGTCAGCCTTCTTGAATGTCTAGAAGCACTGAAATAATTGGAATTTCCCGGTAAATTTTCACAGAAGTCATCATTTGTGTGGTGGAGATTCCAAATAGGTCGGGGAATCTCGACACCTGTATGACGAGGCATGACCCGATTGCGTCATCGTTTGATGAAGCATTTTTATGGACATATTTATAAGCCAGATTTTGTACTGGCTGTTTATTCAAATAATCCTGATTTACTGTTGTCCCTATGATACACTGTGCGACATGATTTGTGAATGTTAATGCTTTTCGCATAAAATGTTATAGTATACAAATGCAAGTGAACCTCGGAGACAAATAAAATCTGTGAAGATTTACTCAGAAAATCACAAACACTATTCCTACTACTATACATTTAAAATATCTAGTCAAAAGATTCTGTCATTGTGATCACATAAATGAACTAAAATCCCACACGATGCCGAAAGGCTAGATAATCAAGATAAAGTGAACCACCGGGAAGGAAGAGCGGAACACCACTCACTGTCAATGGATGGATGCATCAACCACCACTTTAAATCCAACCTCAACTCCAGCATACCCAATCAGACTAAGAAACAGTCCGCCATTCTTACTACTTCCCTACATCTATTTGCGCTCTACTTCCATCTACCCCAAGAGAATAATACATCCACAATAACAATGCCCCGACCATGACCCCCGCCCACCCTCATCCCCAACAATAGACACACATCAATAACCACCAAAACGCGTGCGTGACGCGTGAACCTATCCACCAAATCACCCCAACACAACACCAGAAATGAACCACCTAGATCTTCCTCCCCTATCTACTCAGGATCCTCGTATGTATATCCTCAAATTCATTTCCTCATAGAAGAATTACTACTAAACACTCACCAGACCGCGTAATCTCCTTCCCGGCCTCGCAGTCCCTACACGCGTCCACCGCGTTCCCGGATGCTGCCTCAGGCAGAAAGGCCATCCCGACTGAGCTGGTCGCGTTGGATGAGGCGATCTCTGCACCGGTGATATCGTCGTCGACGACAAATGAGCGAATACGTGAGTTTTCTGAGGGAAAAGGAGAACAGCTAAAGGGGTTGCCGGTTGGTCATGTTACGGAGGTGTTTGGGCCGCCGGGGGCGGGGAAGACGATGTTGGGGTGAGTTTATTTCTCTATTATCTATCTATTAGTGGTTTGAGTGGAGTGGATGTGGATGGGTATTCTTGTAATATGTGTGCTGATAAATGGTGACAGGTTGAATGCTGCTGCTGGTGCGCTGGGGAGGGGGGAAGGGGTTGTTTGGATAGGTAGGTTTCCTCCTACTGCTTGTGTTTGATATGAGTTAACGGTTGTTCTTTGGGGTGATTGAAGATACGGCATCGCCGCTTCCTAGGCCTCGACTGCGCAAACTGCTCGAGTTGCAGTCTCCTGCTTCGCCGTCATCTCCCAGGTCCTTGACGGAAAATCTAACATATATTCGTGCCCCCACGCTCCCTCATCTCCTCTCCCTCTTCCATCATCCACCTACCTCTTTTCCACCCCCAAACACAACTCTCCTTGTTATAGACTCTGTCTCTGCCCCCTTTACTCCTTATTTCCCTAATCCTAGTGATATCAACCAACCCCAGCAAGCGCAGAGGGATGTCCAGAAATGGCTCACAACGCGAAAGTGGAATGTTATAAGCGATCTTGCTGCTCAATTGGTGAAGTTCGCAAGCAGGGCGGATCTGGCAATTTTGGTTATTAACCAAACGCATACCCGAATTCGGGGACAGGTGAGGGCAACGCTGTCTCCCATATTGAGTGGAAGGGGGTGGGAATCATGTGTTCGTGCTCGGATCGGCGTTTATGGTGACTTTGGGTATGGTGGGGATGGCGGATGGGTGAGGGTTGCCGAGGTCATGAAGAGGGATGGGAGGCTTGTCACTGTTAGGGACAAAACCACCGTAGTGCCTTTTCGGGTTGCAAATGTGAGTTCTTCTTTGATTTCCTCTGTCGATTATTTGCTTGGCTGTAGATGTGTTGACTTGTCGACTAGGATGGATTGTATGCTGTTGAGATGGGGCTCGAGGGTAATGGAGAGGATGGCGTCGCCGTACAAGTTGGGGAGAAGCAAGCACAGGATGAAGATGCGCTCGAACCGGAAGAACCATTGGAAGAGGAACCGGTGGAGGAGGAAGAGCCAGAGCTTGAAGATTACCAAGCACAGGACGATTCCGCACAAGAGGAGCTTGCGCCCGAAGACCCTGCACCAGGAGACCCTGCACCAGAAGACCCTGCACCAGAAGAGCCTGTACCAGACGAGCCCGCATCAGAAGAGTCTGCACAAGAGGAGTCTGCGCAAAATCAACCTGCACCAGAAGAGCCCGTAATTGAATCGTTGATGCATGAAGAGCCTGTGCACGAAGGGCACACACAAGAGCACATACAGAAGATACAGGCCCAGGAGATTCAAGCACAGAAAGAGCAAGCACAAGATGTCCAATCCGACTCAGCTCACGATACTGCAAGCCAGCGGAAGCGAAAGGCAGAGGAGATTGCGGACAGCCAGGATGAGGAAGATTCGGAAGGGGTATTTGAGTAGGTCAAAGGTGACGTGGTTTGTGAGCAGAGGATCAAAGTATTATCTGCCTCAGTATAGACTTCTATATATACCCATTGTTTTGAATAGGGCGCAGTGCACAGGTGCTGAAACACGCTTTATGGCACCCGCACCAATTCTATGAATGAACTAGTCGATACATCATCGTCAAGAATGCGAGTTGTGCGTCAGCAGTGATCGTCATTTGGCCGCTGAACCCAAGCTGAAAGCTCCCTCATGGTCACGAGTTTTCCGGTGTCGAGGTTGATGTTTCTATGCGTCCCATTCGCGTACCCTGTGCCTGGAACACAAAACGGTGTGCGGCTGGATACACTTTCTCCAGCAGATGCTAGGCTCCGATCTGGAGCGCTGGTAGTTTCTCGGTCCAAAGAATAGAGGTTGATGTCCCGGTCGATCGATATCGGCCGGCGATTCTGTACCACAGCAACGAGCCGGCCCAAAACAGCAAATTCGAGCTTCAGTTTGATACTGTATATCGCTCCTTTCAGCGTGATCTGCACAGCATAGAAGCTGGCATACTCAAGGCCCAGTAATATGAGGTCCATAACCAGCATAGCGACGTTAATCCAAATCAACTGATACATGATTTTTTGGTTCTCACGGACAAGACATATCCGCAGCATCAACAATGTCTCCCACATATATAGTCCAGACAGAACGATCTCCTGGATGGTAAAGCCGGTCATCTGAACCTTCTCCATGATATTGTATCCAATTACCCAGGCCGGCTGTTCATCACCGACAGCATTGGATCCGTATGTCAGGACTGTCGTGGGTACATGTAGGAGGAATACATTCGCAATAATCATGTACAGCACTCGCTGTAGGATGCGCTCGTCGCAAATGACGAGGTGGAGTCGTGAGTACAGGACAACCGCCTGGCCCGTGACCATGACCCACCAGCCGATACTAAGTATAGTGACAGAGAGATTCGAAGGGGCTTGAGTAAAGAACTTCATAATGAAGCCCAATGTGTATGGTAGCACGCCTGCGCAGCCCGATAACAGCAGGCTCCAAAAGTATAGGCCCTTCCATCGTCGGAAGGTCGATAGGACCATGACAACTAGCTCAGCCACATTGTAGCAGGCAATGGCCATGAAGAATAGCAATGTGGCTTTGAAGGCACCACCACTGCTTGCGAGTTCGCCGCTGATGCCATCCAGCGGGTCTTTCGTAGATGATACGGACATAGTAGTCGATAAATGCGAAGTCAGGGAAACACAGAATTAGCATTCCGTGTGCACGAGCCGGGTATCGATAGCGCCAGCGTCACAGGCTATATTTGAAAGCCAACCGAAGTGAAGACCACAACGTTAATGGCCACCTGAGCAGATTGCAGATTGAGATTCACACTCTCAGCTCTCAACTAATTGAATGAAGTCGTCGTAGGCAGTTCGCCGTCTCTGAGTACCCGCGCCATCAATGTCGATTGCTGTGGTCAGAGTACCATCCACATGTTCTCAGCCTTGGAACAAACGAGTCGCAACCATCAATCAAGCTCACGGTAGCGTCAGGCATCAATGGATATCCCAAGAAGGAAAGGCTGTCGAATTGGAGTCTGCACAACACACCGCATCCAGGGTCCTGACGTGGTACAACTATCCAGAGTAGTCGATAAAGTCCGGGCCACCTCTGACAGAGTTTCATCTAATGTCCTAGCGCCGTCAGATCTGGGGAAGTGGAAGGATGCGAAGCTAGTTGCCAGTGGTGGAGGGGCTTGGGGTTTGGGGGCAGATCAAGCTTGGGCCACGGCGAGGGTGGACGATGGTTAGAATGTCAACTCAGGGACGAGCGGACGATGTTTTGAGGAAGTCTTGTCCGATCGGCGAGCTGGATGACAGGTAAAATCGCCATTGTTGAGTCCCCGCTTAGGCTTGCTGGTCTTAGTCATTGCTTTTGCTGCGGAGAAATTGGTGGAAGGAATGGCGTCGGCGATCACTAGTCAAGATGGCTGGCGCTGATGGACGTGTGACTGCTGCAGTGACCCGCCCACTGACAATCGAAAGGTCCAACGCCGGAATTGCTTCTGTGTAAACGCCTAGGCTTTCCCCCCGAGCTAAATTGGTCATTGCCATTTTGCAGGAAATAAAAAGGACGGACTGGCTACGACGTTACAATGGGGGCTCTATGGGTCCAGTCCATCCTGCAGATGCTGTGTGGCCTGCAGGCCCAAAGCCCAGCAGCCCAATTACTGGGTCTAGGAAGACAGGTGCAGTCGTGCAATTTCATTGACAATAACATTCATTTCCGATCAGGTTTTTGAAGTATTACTGGCGAGTCTAGAACCGCCCAATATTTCGTCAGGTTCCAGGGTCACTCCTGAAAACCCACCATTCAGCTCCCCGGTTTCTGCGTGGCCGGGACGCCCTGTCATATCGCGGGAACCTCGCAAGACTTGAGTCGTGTCTATTATACTACAAGGCTCATATGTCAAGATCTGTATCGATCTATGGGGTAGTTCATAGGTTGGTGAGATAGTCCTCAATCTCCTCCTTACTCAGCTTCCTGAAACGGGGTCCGCGCGATCCTTCAACACCCTCATAACCAAGCAGATGATCGGCAGGAGGACCAACAATGCCTGTTATCGTCAGCATGATAGCAATAGAATCTACCAGATGTGAAACTCACCAATTTCTATCGTATCACCGTTCATCTCTCCCTCAATAGTCTCCTTCAAAGTCAGGAGAGCAATGTGAATGGCATCTTCCAGCTCGAGACCCTCGGTGTAACGTTTCTCAAGGAATGTCTTTGCGCTCGTCGCATGTCTTCCAATGGCCGTGGCCTTCCACGGATAGTAACTGCCACTGGGGTCGACCTGGTACAGACTGGGGCCGCCCTTTAAGATACCACCCGTCTTGCCGGTTGCTTTCTTAGGCTCGTCCTCACCATCACCCTGCTGAGCCTCTCCTGATTCAGGCTCAACGCCCTCGTCCCAGCCAGCAATCAACAAGCTGACACCGTACGGTCGGACACCACCAGACTGGGTCGCTTCTTGAACAACACGGGCAACGTCCTGCACTAATATCCGGGTAGGGGGGTATTCGTTATAGATGCGCTTGTAGCCAGTGTGAGAAACCTTGCGGGCCCGGTCCACGAGCACACGGTAATCTGGGCCCATTCCAGCGTAGACCATGCCGATGTCGGGTGTAATCAGGGAGATCTTGGAGAGGGAAGGTGGGTCAATGAGAGGCGAGTTGGCTTTCTTTTCGGTTGCCAGAACAATTCCGTTGGTAGCTGTTGAGTAGCGGTGGTCATCAGTAGCTATTCGAAGCTAGGCCGGGTGGATCAGAGCTATGTCATACCTTTGATGCCCAGAGCAGTTACACCCTGGTTGACAGCGTTCAAGGCATATTCTAGAACTAGTCAGCACACTTGTTTAAACAGCTAACAATAGGTAGCTGTCTTCATTACCAATCTGAACCAGCTTTCCGCTGAGCAATGTTAGCAAGGACCCTAGCTATCGAGCAGTGAGCTTCTCTTACCTGGGGGAGAACGTGGTCAGAGAAAAGGAGTAGCGATCAGCCATGAGTGCGTTTTTCCACAATTACAAGCTCCGGGGGGTATGAGAATGTGCAAATGTGATGGATGAAAGGTGAACGGAGATGGGATGAGGTCGTGGGGGATCAAGAATGGAGCTACCCTCAAGGACAGCAGGCGGCAGGATGTTGACGCAGCAGCAGCAGCACCGCCGGCTGGTTCGGCGCCAAGCCGCGCCTCGGGCGGTGACGGTAGGCGAGCGGCTAGTGCGGTTACGGCACGACTTCTTCTCCACATCGCCTTTTTAAGCTGGCCTCTTTTTCCCTCACCCACTTTTCCCTCTTTTTTCTCCTCGTCCTCGCGCATCTCTCGACACAGACGCCTACCAATTGCTGCCCGAGGTTCTCAGATCGCTGGTAGGTCTGAGAATCATATTATGCCATTAGCTCTGAGACTGTTTGGGCAAAGGCAGAATGGACCTGCGCAATGAGCCGCTCTGGCAGTGGCCTTCGAGCTCTGCCTCCGTCTCAGCTTCGGACCCTGACTTGGATGTAAGGCAGAGTCCAGAAGATGTTGCTGGACCTGATGAACCCTCGCAATCTTCAGGCGAGACTTCCGAAAAGCATTACCCTCCTCGTACATGTCGCATCTGCCTAGAGACCGTCTACCCTACCTTCTCTCCTCCATCCGAACACCTGCCTGGGTTTCTTCAGTCCAAGCAACGCGTGACATACCAGTCCTCAGACCCGGAGTCGGGTCGGTTGCTTCGCCCTTGCAAATGCAAAGGATCCTCGCGTTATGTGCATGAGGGATGCCTACAACTTTGGCGACATGCGGACCCAGGCTACGGCAAGAGGAATTACTGGCACTGTCCGACATGTGGCTTCCACTATCGCTTAGAGCGCCTCCGATGGGCACACTGGATCAGTAGCCCATTGACGCAGCTTGGACTTACTCTAATTATTCTAATGTTGACTGTATTTTTACTTGGTTTTATTGCTGACCCGATCATTAATCTATACGTGGACCCTATGGACCCCATTATCCGCTCAGACTACTGGGATACACGCCCTGTGTCGAGTATATTACCTGACAATGAAGAGGCTTCCTGGACTGAGCACTTCATCAAGGGGCTAGCCTCTTTGGGCTTCCTGTCTTTCATCAAGGCTGTGTTTGCGCTTTCTTCATGGCATGGATTGACACTGCGCGGCACAGGGATGTTTGGTGGCGGAAGGAATTCTGGCCGCAACCGCGTCGCGTGGTTGGTCATCGTCATCGGTGTTGGTAGTTTCCTTTGGGTATGTTTACATGATGATTACTCTTTTTCTAGCAACTTCTGACCGCGAATACTAGGCCGTCTACAAAGGTGTAAGAACATGGAGCTGCAGGGCTTTAGAAAAAGCCGGAGAGCGAGTCATGGATGTTCCGTTGCCCGACGACGAGGATGAAGATGATAAAGCCTCTGCTGAAAAGTCCGAGGAAAGTAAGAAGGAAGACTGACCCTGGTCCGACGTATGTCATGTACAGTCATGAACCTTCGTATCCAAATTTGTTTTTGTTTCTTTAAGTGCTCTATTCGCTGGCGATATCCACGCACTACTTTGAGTTGTCACACTCCTTATCAATGAGGTGCCAATCAGTCACTGTGCGAAGAACGAGGCAGACCCTCGCTAACCTCACAGATCATGTTCTGTTTAAGTAGTGTGGCTGGCGAGGACGTTTTGTTCTTTCCTTTTCACCTGCTTAGTTTCCGCAGTCATGACTGGAGGGAGGGTCAAACTGCATCTCGATTAAACTAGGCGCTCGATTCTTTCAGTAAGCGTCATGGATTGAGATGCGGTACACTCATGATATGTAGTTTCATATACCCTGAATGTTATTACCTTGTGCCTTTATTTAATGTTTTTTCTAAGTACGTGTTAGTTTCTCGAGCCAAGCTGTGCCGGTGGGAAGAATTAACTGAGACTTGCTCCACATCGATCGAGGCAATCCTACTTCTGTAACTTATTGCACCTCAACAAGGGGAATCAACACTGCCTCCAAGCGAGTAGGGACATCCAACTCTGACTATCCGCGTGCTTATTCCAGGGGTATCTGCCCACCGCAAGAGCACCTATTCGAAGACCGAATATCGAAAAATCATTTATTAGCGATAGCAATCTCATTCATGTAATTTTTTTTATATGAAGACTATCTTGGTCTTTTGCCCATGCCATCATCACCAAGTTTAGTTCTCCATTATAGATAGTAGTGCTTGAGCCGAACCACGGGAAGGGCCGTTCCGCCAGTGGTCGATCCACTATACAACGCCCAACTATTAATTCATGAGACATGGAGTTATTTGCGACATTCCACATTTACAATGCAATCCTCGATTCAGTATGGGTGGTGATTGAGACACTAGGTTGGTCCCATACCAAGTGAGAAATTCTGTGTTTTATCCTCGATTCATGGCCTTGAGCCCTAGTAGTCTTCATCTGTTCTTCATGTCAGTTAAAGCCAGAATCGTTGGGTAAGCTTATAGCCCTACTTCTGCCAGAGGATAGAAGCAATACCTATAGACACGAGCCACATGTATAGCGGGTTGGTTCGATATCGTGCCAGCGATTGCAACTTTCCAGGCCAACTATCTCGAACGGTCAAAGATAGCCGTTCTAGTAGATAGTCACATCCAGAAAATCTCCGTCCCTGTGCCCACAACCGCTGTTCCTGTGATCACAGCCGCACGGTCAAGTAGTCCAAGGCGTTGGCAGCAGTATACACAGTGAATCTTTTGTTGCTTAGTCGTCGCCGAGATCGCATGGCCCGCTTTGATAAGTGTTCTCATGAAGATGATCTCCCAGTGTTCTTCTTCTCTCGTCATCACTCTCATCCAACATCACCATATTCAGTCTTTCTCAAGATACTCAAGGCGTTGTGATACTGTGTGTGATCTTTCTTCTGCAAGAGCAGTTGTGCATGGTTCTCTATCACGCAAGCAGTTGCTTCAAGATCTCCGGTGTTCATGAACACATCTGAGCAGTTGTGATATCCTGTTGCGGCGATCTCTCCCCAGCTCCCAGTGTACTTTTCACAGTTCTAGGACACGCGACCACCTGCCTATCATGGCATCTGCACTCACAGGCAGTGGCACTCTCTCCGCCAAGTCGAGTATAGAGTCCTGTATCCGTGACCTGTACCGCCACCACATCGCATATCTTGAGGCGTATCCCGAGCAGGCACATGATGAAGACGAAATGGTCTCTCCTATCGAAACCAACAACGAGATTGCTGCCATGGAGGCAACCATGGCAAACGTACCTGATAATAGAAGCGAGAGCATTGGGGAGCCCGGACCCTCAGTGAATGAGGAACCCATCGAGCCCACTCCGACCTTCATTACTCAAAACAACCCCAATTCTGGTCTCCCACTTCCTCTACACCTTAACACAGAGCGTTTTCCCGAGTACGACAGATCGTGTGAAAACCGTGACGCCCGCCAGAACAGGCAGATCGAAGAATCATACAAACTAGCTATCTCCAAGCTTTGCGACGAAGTCATCAGCTTCAGACAAATTGACTCGCTGGCAACCGCGCCTCTTTCCTTCACCATGGCGGGTGAAGAGGAAACAACCAACGCGAGCACAATGACCAATGTATCAGAGACTCCTAAGATCGAAAGCCCCCCTACCCTGGCCTCACAGTTGAACACCGGCGTCTCGAACAACCAACACGTAGGAGTTGGCTCCGACTCGGTTCCACTTGTTGCCGAGGAGCGCAAGAAGAGCACCCTCGAGCAAATGCGGACCATGACCAGCTCCGAACACATGAGCCTGACTACCAAAACACGCTTCATCGAAATGAGCAACACTGTTCTTCGACTTGAGCTCCTCCTCTTTCGCAGACACGCTACTCCCGTGGATCCAGTCCTCGGACTGACCAAAGACGAAATCAAAGAGGTCATGCACCACTTGGAGGAACTCAAGAAATGCATCAGCATCGTGGATCACATCTTGCAGCAGGAACTCACCTGGGCGCGCCGCGTTGAGTATTCGGTTAAGCAGATCGCAGAAGATACACAGTACAACGTGGTGACTCGGTTCAGAAACATGACCGAACTGATCCTTAAGTATGTCCTTACCCCTCCATCCCATTCTCTCACTCAATACCACAAAGCAAATCAAAGCAAAGTCAACTAACGTTTACCCCCCTATAGTCATCTCAACAAGCCCCGCCCATCTGAACGTGACCTTCTCACCGTCTTCCTGGACTTTTTCGACGCGTACATCTACACCGACTTCATGAATGACTACCAGCGTCAGCTTCCAGTGAAGGAGAACTGGAACCCCGTGCGCGTGGAAATGACCCGCGCCTTGATCGCAGTTTGGGATCTGATCAACCGGGCCATAGAGAGCTATGATGCCATTATCAGAGTCACGGTGGACATCAAGGAGCGGTACACGGAGCCTCACTACAGAGAGATGCAGGAGACTCCTCAGGCCTGGAGGAGCGCCATGCTCGCGCACCATATCGAGGGTGAGCGTGAGCGGCAGCGCCAGGCTGCTCAGCGGGCAGAGGCCAGGAAGGTGGCGTATGAACAGGCGAAGGAGGAGAAGAAGAAGGAGGAGGAAGAAGCGAAGACAGTGGCTGGGGTTAAAGATTACGTTCCTTTCACTGCGGAGATGGATCCTACCGTCAAGGTCCGGGACTTTGCGTATGAGGCGCTGGCTAAGGCTGCGCAGCCTGCTGTGTCTGGCTCTAAGGATGATGAGGATTCGGATGATGGTTGGGTGTTTTGAAGGTGACTTTTAGGTTTGGATGAAGCTCATTTGACACTGGTTAGGTCATGAGATGGATTGATTGAGGATTGGTGTGAGGATGAGTTGATGAATTCTACGGATCTGATACATATGCAAGAAGCAATGATTTCAAGATACCAATGTGAGAAGAGGGGAAGTAAAGTGACGGATGAAAATCGAAAACACAAAAAAAGAACAAAAGAAAGAAAAAATTAACAAAAAAGAGATGAACAAGAATTGGGCGGTGGACTGACAGAAAGAAGAGCACATC